CAATGTCTTTGATTATGAAATTGCTAAATCATACTTAAACTTCTTTAGCACTAGGATGCACAGTCTGAATTGGTTGTTGGGCCACCTCTCTGAGGAGGCCCTTGTGTATATATAGATCAATGTGGGAAACCCATATCTTGGGAATTTATTGACATGAACCGTAGCTAAGTTATGAAACCCTTAGCTTCATGAATAATGATCTTTCTACAGATGATCTTATGCGGCTCTGCTGTGTTTAGCGGCTGGGCGGTGTTCCGCGGCTTTGCCGTGTTTCGGGGCTTTGCCGTGTTTCACGGCTTTGCCGTGTTCCATGGCTCTGCCGTGTTCCACGGCCCTGCCGTGTTCCACGGCCCTGCCGTGTTCCACGGCTCCGCCGTGGCGTGTTCTCTCCAACAGGTGCTAAGAATAGGAAGATCCTGAGATAGGCAGGGAGCTAGAGTTAGGCAGGGTTGCGTACTGATTGAAGAAACTGTGAAGCCCAGAAAGTGCTACGTGAAGAAACTACTTAGGCAAATATAACTGAAAACCCTGTCGTGGGGCCACATTGGACAAGTCTTCAGAGGCTCCCACAAATCTGAAACGAAAGAAGAAGACTGCGGGTGACAGTTTGGCACTGGCGTCTACTCCTAATTAGAGAATAAAACGTAATGCTCTCATTGCTCTGGAAAAGTACTTCCCTTTTAGAAATACCGACAAACAGAGTAATAAGGGACAGTTTTAGGCATTTTTTATTAATAACTTCTCACTATGAAACATTTCATAAACAAATTAGGGCTCATTTTAAAGGTCTTTTTGAGGGCTATCGTTGGTAGTTTGGTACCGTATACCTATATCTCCGAAAAAATTCCATATGCTTTTGGTAAGGTGCCAGACAGTGGGAGCCAAGACTGGTAGTCTGGCAGCCAGACTAGCTACCACCTACCAGTCTGCTCTGTCTGCCAGATGCAAAGTAAATGCCTCCACCTGAATTACCCCTGGGAATGGCTAATGGGTAATAAGGGACACTACACTTGAAATGAAACTTAATTTAAAAATTCTTGAAGAGTTGAAGCATGCTGAGTGTACTTATCCATTACTAACAGTACTCTGAAGTCCTTTTCTTCCTTTGTAGTACGACTAGTACCTGTTGTAGATGTAGAATAAATGACATTTTCTGTAATTTTTACTTGTTTTTCTGTTATTGATATATGATAGCCTATTAGCTACCATATTGCCTTTATTGGGCATAGGGCTGGAGCCTGGATAATAATAGCAAACATATAGCTAATAAAAATTTCCAACTGTTGCAATCCACAGTATTTCCACTGTTGCAATCCTGCCTCCTGCCAAAATAACATGCAGAACGTAATAACAAGTCAACTCAAAACATTTCCTCCATGAAGATTGTGTAGCCTAGTTAGGGTTATGTCAGAATGGACATACTGGTGCATTATCACTTGTACAGTTGCCGCTTAAGTCAGTTAAGTGAAGACAAATGCTAGTGACTCTTTTGTATGGGACTTAGTAAATAACATGGGTCTTTGTATGCATGGGAGTGATGGGACTTTGTGAATAACAAGTTTGTAGGTCATAAATTAAATGGCTTACCACGGCCTAGATATGGAATTTACGGCTCAAAGAAATGGAATCACGGCTGGCAAACCCATGAAGCTACGGCTCTAAGAAATGGAAACATGACTGGCAAACCCATGCCATGAAGCCACGGTAAAAAAATCTGGTCGTAGATTGCCAACATCAAGTAGAATTAGATATAGCTATTCTATGCCTGATTGGGCATATCCATACATAAGATACATTACCATATTATTGATGTGATATTACCGTAGCCCATAGGTATTGGCGTATCCATAAACATGCCCTTGAGCCTTTACAATGAGATTGTCCACTGCAAGCTTCATATCAGCAGCCATGTAGCATTTCTTCTGTAGGTAAGCTTACAGGACTGCTTATAATTTCACAACATTTTAATCAAGTTGAGTGAATTTACTATAGCAAAAAAAAAAAGATTGTAAAAAACATATCTGATACACAAAGGAATATTTTAGTGACAACCAATTAACCATAATATTTTTTGAAAAAATATTAATACTTCAGGTTAATTACCTTTCATTCTATGTTGCCAGACTGGTGAACAATTCTATCTATGACATTCTATGCACAATTTTGTAATCACCAATTATTCATTCATTTTTAGTTAGAGGAAATCTTTTTGCTAAGCAAGATAAATATAATAAAAATTATTTGGTTTAATTGATTTTTTCATTAACTGAAGCCTTGCCACCCTTTGCCAAACCTAGGTTCTACTTTAACATTTAAATGAGTTTTTATGGGTGTCCCTTATTATCCCATCATGCGGAAATGGCCGCCATTTTGCTTTGGAATGAGATACGCGAATTCTGTCAATCACGTTTGTAAGCCAACACCTTTGTGCAACTTTTATGTAAGTAAAATTTTTTAATATGGCCAATTTTTTTTTCTGCAGATCTTAGCAGAGGTACTTTTCCAAAATCTCACTTCTTACACTTTCTCAGAAATTTTTTAAAGGTAGTAAATGTATGATTTTTTAATTTGCTTTATGCAACATAGATAGTAAAAATGTTGAACTTTACACCACTATTTTTTGCAAAATTTTTGCAAATTTTTTTTGCAAAATTTTGATTAGTTTAGCTGTTATGACATTTTTTCAAAATGTGAGATGGCTGTCCCGATTTACACCACCTGTCCCTTATTACCCTGTTTGACGGTATACCATCAAATGGGGTAAAAAGGGATGGGCAGGGTAATAAGGGACAGTCCTCCAACATTTTGTAGAAATGTTGTAAACGCTAAACTAATTAAAATATTGCAAAACTAAAAATAGTGGTGTAAAGTTCAACATTTTTACTATCTATGCAGCATAAATCAAGTTGAGAAATCATACATTTATTACCTCTGAAAATCCCTGAAAAAAATACCCTGAAATGATCCTGAAAAATCCCTGCTAAGGTCTGTAGCAGAACAAATATTTGTTGTATTGAAAAATTTACTTACATAAAAGTTGCACACTAGTGTCAGCTTAAAAATGTGATTGACAGAATTTGCATATCTCATTCCAAGAAAAAATGGTGGCCATTTCCTCAAAACGGGGTAATAAGGGACACCTCTAAAATTGCATTTACAGTAGAACCTTGCTTAGCAAAGGCTCCATTTAATGAAAAAATCAATTATCAATAAAGAATTTTGATTAGATTTACCTCGCTCAGTGAAAAAAATTTCTCTTAATGAAAAATTACTGCATCAGTCATCACAAAATTGTGCATAGAATGGCACAGATAGAATTGAGCACTGGGCAACAAATAATGAATAGTTATTAACCTAAACTATGATTTATTTCTTCAAAAAATATGACAGTTGTCACTAAAATATTCCTTCCTGTTTCAGGTAGGTATGTTTTTTACAATCTTTTTTGTTATAGTGTCACTTGACTTGATTAAAATTGTGCAAAATTAGAAACCATCCTGTAAGCTTACAGATACTGAAGAAATGATACATGGCTGCTGATATGAAGCTTGCAGTGGACAAGGTCATTGTCAATGCTCAATGGCATGTCCATGGATACAGTAATATCACATTAATAATACGGTAATGTATGGATAAGTTAATATTATATCGATGAAGAAAAACCAAGCAAAAATCCCCAAAAAATTCATTTATTCCACATTCACATCATCTACAAAGGAAGAGGAGGACTTCAGAGTACTGTTACTCTGTTAGTAATAGATGAGTACACTCTGCATGCTTCGAATGTTTAAAATTTAGTTTTATTTCAAGTGTCCCTTTTTACCCTATTTCCAGATTAATTCAGGAGCCTTCTATATTGCATCTAGCACCTTACAAATAGCATATGAAATTTTTTTGGAGATTCCATATGATAGCCCTTGCAAAGACCTTGAAAATGAGCCCAAACTTGTTTATGAAATGTTTCATGGTAAGAAGTTATTAACAAAAAACACTCAAAACCGTCCCTTTTTACCCTGTTTGATGGTAGTATAATACTATATATATAAGTAGCCCAGCAAACTATCACGGTCATGCTCATGGATACCTCATACCAGCATGATCATAGTCTCATTGATAAGATACTTGTTAAAATCTTGGGTAGATGAGGAAATTAACAATGAACTGATTCTAAATAATCTCTGGTTTGATAATAACACTAAGCTGATGACAGATGCAGGATGTGATAGAGGATTGGAATTTTTCTATGTATTTTGGAAATGTTTCAGAGCCATAATGCCTGATGTCAACAGCCACAAAATAAGCTTGCTAAAGGTAAGCATGGCCATACTGCATCTGGCTAAACCTCTTCCTGCCTAACCTACACAAGTTGCAACATTTATCCACCTATAACAAATCACAACATTTATCCGCCTAAAACAAATCTGAGCAGACCTGACCCAACCTAACCTCATTGGCTGTGGGAAGTTAGAAAGGCGGTCCAAGTGTGCTGGTTCAGTCAATCATTGACTGCAAGGAGGTTATGATCTGGGACAGTTTGAATACGTTAGGCCAGAAGAGGTTAGGCTGGAGTAGGTACAGCCGGATGAGGAACTGCCTGCTTATGAGCAAGCATGTGAAAACTTTAGATGAAGACCTACGGTGCTACTATCTTTTGGCAGTGTGTTGCTTGTCTGGATTACAGAGTTCAAGCATAGTCTGCGGCAGTTAACTCTGAGGCTGAGTAAAGTTAATGCATGGTGAAGCTGGGCATTGGCTCCTGGGCTTATTTAAGAGTAAAATTTGTGGCCTCTGGCTGCGCCCCCCAATTCTCAGTTGGTAGTTATTTAGGTATGGTATTATTATTCATGCAAGTAATTCTTGGTTGTCTTACTCCCAAATATCAGTTGAAAGTTATTTACCCTTTTTTTTATTATTCATGTGATGTTGTGAATGCTAGTATATTTTACTGGCTGCATATACATGCTGTTCTGCAAGTTTTTATACTTTGTTTTGTTTTTTACAGTACAATACAACAGTGTAGAATCAACCCATTTAACGTGGCTGAAATTTAATGGATATTGCATCAAATCCCAGAAAGCTGCATTTATCAACTTATCTTTTCCAAGATACCATCTAATGTTCATTCTTTACTGACTTTGTGCTTAATTTCTGGTAAAAATGGTCCTGAAAGCTAGCAAGGTAAGTGTACCAGTACCAAACTAAGAGAACTAACCCATGGAACTGCCTACCTCGAATACTGAGTACTGATATAGCTTGATAGTTAACCTAGAAGATAAAGTAAGAAATAAAATACTTGAAAAAAACTTTTTAAAAAACCACGTTTTTCTTGTGGACTAAAAAGTAGAGAATAAATTATGGCTTGCCCCAAAAAACATGGGTTGGGCTGTACATTCACCAACAAATTTCTAAAATTCGTGTGTTGTGTGTTTTTCGCTTTAATAATAAATCTGCCCGACCCACGTTTTTTGGGGCAAGCCATAATTTATTCTCTACTTTTTAGTCCACAAGAAAAACGTGTTTTTTTTAAAGTTTTTTTGAGTATTTTATTTTCCCCTTTTTAGTCCTACATAATATAAATTTTATTTCAGTTGGCCACGCAAATGCATGAAAGAAAATTCTTTTCGCAGTTCTGTATTCGAGGGGATACATTGGTGCATATAATTTCATTTCATGCACCAATTGAATAAATTCCACGCATTTCATTGAATAAATACGCCTGGAAACGTGCAACAAATTATTGATTATTGTATTGTCATCGGGAGCTGAGCTTCCCTAAAAACTTCAGAACGCTAGCTAGTGGGAAAGTTGGTGAAATATCGATTGCAAGATTTGATCATCACAATCTTGAAATGTGGTGTTTTCTTGTCATGTAACAGAGAAATATAAAACTTTTTTGATAATAATTGATGTTCTCCAGAAATATTAAAATTTGTCAAATAAAAGAAACTCATTATTAGACTTGTTTTGAACACCCTTTGGTAAGATAGATTATAGTGGATATTACAAGATATTTGCAATGAATGTTAAATTAGTTGCAATCATAGTTTACACTGACTGCTCTGCTATGGAACTTTATAATTAGTACCTAAGCTTCAGTTCATACCCCCAATTCTTGAAATGTGGTGTTTTCTTGTCATGTAACAGAAAAAAATGTTATGTCAATGACTGTGCCTGAAGTCTTCCTTTTGATTCGGACTCTCTCAGTTGGGAGCAGGAACTGCTGGGTCATGTCCACCATGTGGACCTGACCCTTTGATAAAAAGGAATTAAAAATGTTCTCAGGATATTGAAGTTGAAATAATCTGTTGAAAACATAGCTTTGGTTTGTATAAATGCATCTAGGCTCTAGTAGGAGCTGTTTTATTAACTAAAGTTAGTAACTTTAGTAAAGGCCAATTTTATTTATTGGCAGTAGCATTTTTTCCCAGAACCACTGTTATGAATGTCATAAAGATAAATATGACTTCTATCAAACCCTTCTAATCTTCATTGCTTGTGTGCATCATCAAAACATAAATATTGTATGAATGGGTCACAATTTTCCCTAGTGTGCTTCTACAGGCCAGTGCTCAACATTTAGCTTTTATTCATATTATAACTGCATATGAATATTTTATTTGATGTTAGCATCAAAATTACCATGTATTACCTATATTAGAAAACTATAATCTTCTATTACATCTGTTTAACTACTATTACTTTTGACCTATTTATTTGACCAACATTACCATTTACTGGTGGTACTTGAACAAATCTCTACTTCAGGTATTGAAAAAGAAGTCGCCAAAAACATCGCAGATGACACCCAAGCCTAAAAAGGCCAGACTGTCTTCTAGTTCTCCAAAAATAGACAGCCAAAAATCCATCCTTAAAAAAGTAACTCCTACAGCAAGAGAGAAAAAAAATGAATCCAAGAAGGAGCTTATGGTAAATTTTTACTTTTGCCAGTTTGTTGTTTGATATAAATTTGCTCATCTATTTAATGAGCCATGTGGTTTTTATGCAAATTAAGAAATTCCCAGTTTTATATGTTGAGTTTGCAGCTCAAATAAATTGTATATTATTGCATCAGGGAGTTGGAAAATTTTAGTAATGTCCGAAATTGATTTGTGTCTAGTAATTACCCTTGCATCAAGCATTAATGATATGTATGATTCCATTTAAATAATTTTTATTGCAAGACATGCAACATGTAGGACTGCCCAATGAACAGATAAGCAAGTGGATAAGTTTAATAATTGACTTATCTCTTGGTTTGGTCCAGTTGATAGTGTGCAAACAGATTAGTTTGCTAGAAGGGAATTTTTCTAACAAATTTAAATATAAATTTCCATTCAAATTGAGAAAATATTCAATATTAATGTGAGTTATGTGACTGACCTTTATTTCATCATTGACTAACAATATTACATATTATTGTTCCATTTGGTGCTAATAACTGCATTCAGAATCGCCCAAGAACTACCGTACACTAGTGAAGGCTAATTTCTTTGTGTGGTCTTGTTTGTTACTGTTTCTCATGTTTCATCTTTGCTAATTGGCATCATATTAAGCCATAAACTGTTTTAAATTAAATATTTTGTTTAAGTGAAGTATAACCTATGTATAAATCTTCTATCTAATATTTTTATTTATGTTTCTTCTACTTGAGGCATGCCTGAAGAGGTCACCTGAAACCCCACTGGCGGCACCCACATCAAAGAAAATGAGACGCACTTTGAGCTCCCAACCTGAAGAGAGTCGGGAGTCCAGCATCAAAATTAAAACTGCAGAAAAAAAGCCTAGCAAAGGCATAAAGAAAAAGCTTTCGGTACTTTTGTTATAATAACACCTTTTGACTGATATAAAAGTTTTTATAGTTTGATGCTATAGCCAATGAGCTTCATTTTAAGTCAAATATAGTTATTACTTTACTTTAACTATTTACCCTCATGAAGTATGAAGGCCTTGCTAAATACAAGCTTCCCTACATGATGGTTAAGATGTTATTGTGCATTCTGTTCTGAATTTGCAGACACCTAGAATTGCTTCCCCTCAACCTGAAGCAGTTGATGATTCCCACAGTATGAAGGATGCAGTTACCCGCCAAAGGTCTTTGGTAAGCTTAGTTTGTTTGTGTGCTTGATTGAACCGTATTATTGATTATGATGTACCAAGCTTAATGCAAATCTATGAAATATGTTGAAAGAAGACATTTGTTTGATTACATTACATTTTATGAAAAAAGCACGGGTACTAAGTTTTCATACTAAGTGTGCTAAAAGTTAAGAAAAGTTGAACTGTTTAAATCCATTTATCAATTGATAATCTTGCAGTCTTGTATTGGTATATACCTATAAATGCTCACCAGGCAATGAATCTTAATTGTTTTCTCTCAAAGATGTTGCCAATAATGCATTTTTTCTATCAAGCTATAAAAGTTACTGATGGTAGTATCAATTAATACTGGGTAATAAAATTACATTGATGGTCATGGAGAGTTATGGAAAAGTCATGGAATTTATTTCTAAATACCAATGCCTGTAAATACCTACTGTAGAAGTATTTTAATATTGATCTAATTGAACAATTTTGCCGGAGGCCATGGAGGAGTTGAGGAAGTTGAGCTCTCCTTCAAATTCTTCATCTTATCTTTATGATGGCTGCTCTTTCAGGGTTACAGTGTGCAAGTTGACGATATCAACAAAGTGACGAGAGCAAAACTGATCCAACACTTTGGCAAGTTTGGTACGGTTGTGAAACTTGGTTTATCCAGTCAGCCTACTAAGATCTCCAAGTCCTCGGCCTCAGAAGTCAGAGGCAACGTTACCTTTGCCAGCAAAGATGTTGCTGACTTGGCAAAAGCAGCTAGCCATCTAGTAAGTTCACATAATGCAAATTTAAGTGGAATGCTGCTGCTGGAATATTGAATTAGTCAATTCATATGCTATTTTATTTTATAGAGAAGTAATTTCAACCAATCGCTCCAAGATATTTCAAATTCATACTAATACATGACCTTTAGTACTTGTATGAGAAATTTTTATTCTGATGTACGTATATGTGTATGTATGAGATAATTTATTATTGATTTAAAGATTAATCAATAATGATTTCTGCTAATGAACTGTAGATGTTTCCTTGCAAATCACCTAAAATAATGACCAAAAATGTCACTCAAAAGAACTTGATTGTTATTTCACTACTCATCCATCAAGTTTGACAGGTTGATGGATGCGAGATAGTCATCAGACCTTGGACGCCCATCCTACAGGTCAGTGTCCGCCTCGAACCACCGATGTCTTCAATCATTGAGTGTATCACATATGTTAAGGGGGAGAACACATAGAGAGAGACCTATCTGACAATTCTCCAGCCGAACTCGCGGCCGGTCTCCAAGATTCAGTGAATATGGAATATCTCCCGAACTAATGAATACAGCTCGACGAAACTTTGCACACGCATTCATTAGGACCTAATGGTGATGTTTAGGTTGTAATAATTTCTTCAATTTCGCCTTTGTTTACAACTTTTACGGTCAAACGGGCCAAAATTCGCAGTGAATATATAACAGTTTCTGAACTAGGTACTTAACGTATTTGAACGTAATCTTGGAGACATATGTATTCCTAAAAGCTCAACGGCGATGTTTAGGTTGAGCAAAAGTTTTCAGCTTAGGCTTTATTTGCAAGTTATTCGGCCAGAGGGAGATGCAACCAGCATTTTTGCGGCTGATTCTCAAATTTGGAGTGAACTTAAAATACCTCCCCAAACTAATAAACTCAATAAAACTTTGCACAAACGATAATGGTGATGTTTAGGTAATGAAAATTTTTAAATTTCGCCCTTGTTTGCAACTTAAGTGAACTAATAAAGTGGTAATGCTTCATAAAAATTAGGTTTATGTATATTGGATTCTGCGTATAGCCTTATACTTTGCAAACGAAGGCGGAATTGAAAAAATTAGTACGACCTAACAATCACCATTTGGTCCAATGAAGAATGTATGAGCAAATTTTCATCGAGATACGTTCATTAGTTCTGGAGACGTTCCCTGTTTCGAATCTTGGAAACCAGCCGCGAGTCCAGCCAGAGAATTTTCCGACAGGTCAGAAAGAAAGAGTGCGGTCTCATTGATGTGAAATGATTTCCACTAGAGCCTACTTTGCTTGCAAACTTGTAAGTGATAGAATAGTCTTATATTACAGATGCTTGGTGCTGGTGAGGTAGCTAAGGTGTGAAAAATTGTTCTAAAGAAGTAGTCAAACTACAAGTTCGGCAAGTTTGACTTTGTGCACTCCATTGAGGGATTTTATCAGGAGGTTTTGGCTCATATTCTTCACAGATTTTTACCTTGTCTGCTCGGAGTCTAAGCGTGCGGAATCTTTAATCAGTCTTTAACTCATTGGGAAGGAAGTTATTGGTTTTTAAGTGTGGTAAATCAACGGTATCCCGACAGGAGCTCAGGGAGCATACTGAGATTTTATGGTCTGGTGCCGCGTTAGCATCATGTCCTCAGCAGATGCTTTTTTGCATCTGCTGAGGACATGATGCTGCATGGATATACCGACTAAGCCGCCATGTTAATATACTGACTAAACCTTCGAAATGCTTATTGACTCATTATGATTGGATTTTTCTCAAATTGCGGTAAATTTTCCTGCAAAATCTACCTCTTTCATAGACTTATTCCTCCAGCTTGTCGAAGGAGCTTTAAACTGACCATTCTGGGTATCTTTCCTGGAAGCTAAATTAGTTTATTGATGCCTTTTCCATCAGCTGATATATTCCAGCAAGCGCACTGGGGCTTCTAGATCTTACCAACATCTGTGTTTTTCAATATCCCTCCCTAGACTTAGATTATTTCAGTTTCAGGCATCTAAACGGTTTATATTTTAGTGACTAGTAACCGGTTCTCTCTGTCTTCATACCACATCGTTACCGCTGCTGCTGATCATGCAACAAGGCATTGTGCAGTCAACTCATTGTATTGGTTCCATGAAAAATTTTGGAATCGAGATGCGATAGTTTTTCTTTAATGCAACAAATATTGTGGTTTGTTTCATTCAATGGTATACATGAGATGTATTTTTTGAAGGTGAAATTTATTGCCATATTTTTCAGATGGATAATGAAGAGAAAGCACCTCAAAGGATAAAGAAAAAGGTTTGTATTTGTGACAAATTGCTCTCTTTTGTGTAGACCACTTCTGCCCAAATTAAGAAATTGAGGCTATTTTGATAAGTGACTTTCACGCGCAGTGACGTTTTAATTTTAGATGTATTTATATCGTATTTTTTATTGTAGACGTTGTATTTTCATTCGGAATGGGGTCAAACAGAAATTTGACAGTCGAATCTATTGGATATATTATTAGCATTGTTCTGCTATAAAAACATGGATTCCATGTTCTGCTATAAAAATACCGACGTATTATTCATTCATCAGATGGCTGGGAGCATAGAGTTGCGGGTTTGAAACAACAGCAACCTTTAAGAATTATGCAAGGTCTAAAACCAGCGATAGTCCAGATTTGGCCCATTCAACTCTGACACCACTATTTCTATTAACAGTGCTACAACAAACCTGTAACTATACAGTCAGTATTGGTTCAGACTAACCAATATTGATTGTATTGATTTGATGAAAGGGCCTACTTTAGTAAATGCTCTATTTGTAGTGAATGATATGAATATTGAATATGTTTTTTTTTCAACAGTATACCAATGAAGATAAGGAACCTCGGGGGATAAAGCGGAAGGTTTGTATGTACGATAATTTTAATTACTGGTATATTATGTTGTTACTTCTGCCGGGATTGAACAATTAAGGTTACTTGCATTGGTGACGTTATCGCAAGGTGACATTTTAATTGTAGTTGTATTCATATAATATTATTCATCATCGACGTCTAATTTATGTTCGGAAAAGAGTAAAACAATTATTTGATAATCGAATATTGCCTTCGGAATGTTAGACTGATATTCTTAGCACGATATAGATAAAGAAGTTGGTGTTGGCTGGGACTCGAGTGCTGCCTAACATTCAGTCATCTATTTCAGAGAAATGAAACTGCCTCTCCTAGCGGTCATAAGATATTTGTTGGACGTCTGCTTCCCAGTGCCACGTCCGACGATCTCGAGAAACATTTCTCGGCTTACGGCGAGGTTTGGGGTGTTTCTCTCCACCACGATAAAAAGAACAACCCGCCAAAGAAGAGTTTTGCTTTTGTTTCCTTCGCCAACGAGACCGCTAAAGATGCTGCTCTCATCGCTGATCACGAGGTAAGACATGTGCATAATGACTTCAATATTAATTTCTGTCAAGGTCTCGGTAAATGCAGCTTGGTACGCGAAGTCTCAGCTTGGGGAAAGGATTGAGTCTAGCTTGGATTTTACACGTCAAACGGCGTTACAGCACCTAATTTGAACGTCACCGGAGTTTCAATTGTATCCCGCAAGACAGTCAGTGTGCTTAATTTTTTTTTATGTTGCTGAACAATGTGCACCGAGTTTTCAGTGTCGACATTACCCTAGTTATAGCAAGTGAAATTGCTTAGCAGCTTGCTAAGCAGCTCTGGTAGATGCGTTATCTATAGGTTTGAGTTGTATTTTGATGCAGCATATCATATTATATTTATAGCATATTGATGTAAATACTATCTGGTGTTGAATATTGTTCTTTTCAAGAGTTTATTTCTGATCATAGTTCTCTAATTGCAGATTGATGGACAACCTATCTATGTTGATGACAGCCGAAAGCCTCCGGTGAGTATAGCTCCTTTGCAATGAATTCGTTTTAGTCCCTATTTACTTATTAGTGGTCGTTGTTGGGAATTTGTATGTATCATTTCTACTTATTTCAATGTCATTTTGACTATAGAGGGCTTTAATAATGGCCATACTAGGCTACCGTGTTGGTGAGAAATTATTGCTGCCAAATCCATCAACTGATTAATCCCACCAAGCTATGAAGAGATTATCATGATATCTGGTACTTCAGAACTTCAAGGGCACGTAACATTTTGAATGATCAATGAAAAAATTAAGTGAGCATAAAAGGAGACAGAAAAGAAGGTAATAGCGATTATGTTCAATAGTTGAAGGCTGCGACAAAATATTTCGGCCTTTATGCTACGACAAAATAACGGCATCGAAGGAGCCGATTCGACAGAAGTTGTAGGCTATCCCAGGTTTTAGCCGCGGCGACCGGGAACGCTCTCGCCAATGGTGGATGGGGGTGTAAATGGTACGATGAGGGCCGCTGTTGATGACAAACGCAGTCGCCTTCTAGAAGAAAATTCGACGCGCGCTGCAAATCGTCCCAGAGGTAGGGAAGTGCCAGACTACGAAGACATCGAGACGTCGGAAGGGAGGCCTTGACCTGCATGCACAGCCCGTGAATATCGCGTAATGTCAGTGTTAAGTGATAGTATTTTAAGCTATCGCACATGAGTTGCATTGTGGGATTCATAATAGATTGCAGTTTATTATGTACTGTAGTATGAAAGTTATAAAGTATGGCATTGCCGTAGTTCAATCTAGGCCTCGAGACAAGCGGCCGACGCTACGAATAACACCTTGCCGTGAACCGTGGAGGCTGGACTGATGGCCCTGAACCACAGCTGGGGAACCGTTGAGACTGGCCCAGGGCCGTCTGTAGTGTGTAGTGAAAGGCCTTTGTTGTTGCCCTATGTGCTGACAAGCATAACGGGCAGTTAGAAAGATACTCAATGTATTCACGGCATCGAAATAACCCCTTCCGCTTAGTTTGTTCGGTGTACATTCCAGTGGTCAAGGGTCGCTGGCTGTGTGCCGACTTTGGCGCCGAAACGAATCTCTTACAGCGCAGATTGTCGAAATGACTGCGCCGCGCATTTTGCCGAATAGTGATGGCATTAGCTGCAAAAGCAGGATTGTCATGTTTGTTCGAACGGTGGGACAACCCGCTGGAGCAGTCAAACCCTTCACTTCGAAGCCCGACATTTATCGTCGTAGCATGGGTCAAAAGTACGCTGGGGGACCCGGAATGAAGTCTTTGAGCGCACGGGTTTAACTCCATGGGGTAAGTTGCGCGAGATCGTCGACTGGTAGCGCCGACCACGAGTCAGGCCGACACAGTCCAGACGACTGCAATCGCTGTCGAAATCGCGCCACGGAGCACAAGTAACGGTTTTTTACTATGCCGCTGAACGAGCGCATGGCACAATTGACTGAAGCTGTCGGTGGTCTAAAATCGCTATTTCGATGACATTGACGGCAGAAGGTCAGCACGCGTGACAACGGTCAGCAGTCCGCCCATTTCTTGCGTCGGTAAAGTTACGTGACAACTATGCCAGAGGTGGATAACTGGTCATTCAGCCGACGTGCCCACGAGTCGTGTCGTCTACGCGACCCCTTCGAAAGTTTTGATTGCCATTGATAAAAACATAATCGGTGTGAGTCGCACGTCTGGTGAAAATATCACTTAGTTTAAAGAACAACTAACGCTTCATAGCAGCCAATCCACGGCGATAAATGATAGTAGCGACGCATATAAGGACGCGCAGGCAACCCTAGCACACAGCAGCTCAAAAGTGGTAGGTCGGGCGCCTGTGTCAAGTGTGGTCAGGTGCACGCCCTTGCCAGTTACGGTCGCTACGGCGCCATAATTCGTCGCAAAAGTGGCAGGTCGCGTGCGGGGCTGTTCGCGCTCGACTACATGCAGTCGTTCAGCGCGAAAACGCGCGACAGAACCAGCGTCGTGCTAAGTCTCGGTCAGAATGATATGGAGAGAGGGCGCGCGACGGATGAGAGAAAACTCATAAAACTTGCGGTTCATATGAATCGGTGTTCTCCGATTCAAGATTAGTTATCAGACTATAATTTAGAATAATATTATGTTCTCTAACTGTGACAAGCTGTGTTTGAGACACATCTAGAGAGTTTTTATTACAGGGAAGAGTATCCACCTCTCCCCAGGTGTCCATACAATATCATCACGTATTGATTGAATGATACACATGTTGGGCCTGAGTTCTCTCAACAGTATACCCATGGTGCTTTCTTTTTAATCTATCATTTTTTTATGTTGACAGCGAAGATAAGGCATCTCGAGGAATACAGAGAAAGCTTTGTATTTGTAACGATTTCATATATAGTTTGTTGAATTATTCAGCCGAAATTAAATACTGTTTATTGAGTTTACCTTCATTAGTGACGATTTAGTTATAGATTTAGTCATCTTCCATTATTCATGGCCAACGGTAAATTTAATTGGTAAAAGAGTCGAACAAAAATATTCAAGTCGAATCTCTCGGATCTGTTATTCGTAATATGAAGCTAATACTGTTACCATGATCACTGTAGATGATCGAGATTTTTTGTGTTGATTTGGACTTGATTGCTGCCTAACTTTCCGTTGTGTTTCAGAGAAACGAAACTGCCACTCCTAGCGGTTATGAGATATTTGTTGGTAGTTTGCATCCAGATGCCACGCACGAAGATCTGAAGAAACATTTCTCAACTTACGGCGAGGTTTTGAATGTTTTCTTACACCACGATAAAAAGAATAACCCGCCCAAAAATAATTTTGCTTATGTTCGCTTCGCCGATGAGACCGCTAGAGACGCTGCTCTTGCAGTTGACCACGAGGTGAGACATGTGCACAATGACTTCAATTTGAATTTCCGTCAAAGGCCTCCACTGAGAGCAGTAAAATTTGTATGGAATTGAAGTAATGGAATGCACTAAGTTAGGGTGAGAGGGAGACAGATCCATGACGCTGTCCCGAGGTAGAGCACATAAAGGCTTAGCTTGTAGGAAAGAGTTCAGCTAGAGTGGTACACTCCGTTAACAGGAGAGTCTCGGTCAAAAATCGAAAATTTCGGATTTTCCGGTTTTTATTATCATTTTAAAGGTCCAGAAATTGCGCATCTAAAAAGCCCAATGCCATGTTTGTGCGATCATTTGTTCTTTGACGACAGCCAGCGGTCGAAGCGCAAGTAAAACATATACCTTCAATGATCATAAAGTTCAGTTTTTTGGCTCTCTCGAAAAGTTTAAATTTCAATCTTTAAAACCTATCTCCTCCTATGATTTTGAAGTTACAGCATTGAAAGATATACCATTCGATTTGGAAAGTAAAGATCTAGAGGATAGTTGTAGCTTTTTGTAATTCTGTTATAGTTTGGATTATATATTGCAAAAAGGGGGAGGAAGGGGGAATCGGAAAACGGACGACAAATCACGGTCCTTACCCGCAAAAATAAGAATTTTGATAAAAGCTACAACGAATCGCTAGATGTGATAGAAGACACCTAAAAAATACATAGAAACATAGAAAATACATAGAAAACAGAATTAAGGGCAGATATCATTTGCACCCGAGGTTGTAGCGTCGTGACACGACAACCCGTGGCGATTAGGGTTAAACGTCGCTAAAAGTTTCAATTGTATCCCGCAAGGCAGTTAGCTTGGCATATACTTTGCTATTGAACAATTTGTACCGAGTTCTCCGTGTCGACATAACCAAAGCTCTAGCAAGCTGAAATGCTTAGCAGCCTCAAGTTGAACTCAAATCCTCAGAAGCGTTACGAATTTGTTAGTGGTATTTTGCTGCAATATTTTGCATTATAGCATATTGATGTGATTAATATTAGATATAGACTATCTATTTAAGATTTTTATCTCTTTTTTTTCTCATCGTGGTCCTCTAACTGCAGATCAATGGATCCCCTGTACATGTTGATGACAACAAAAAGTCCTCGGTAAGCACAGCTCCTCTGCAGGTAATTTCTCGCATAAGTCACTATTTCGTTGTTATTAACTGTCGTTATTGTGATTGTTCGTGTATCGTGACTACCTGTTGCGGCATTACTTCCACGACACCAGCATTTTTTTCATCAATTAGATTTATTTGCTGTTGTTACTATTAACTGAATAGATGATGCAAGATAATTGCGAGTTGTTTACTGCAGTGAAGAGAATAGTCTGTCTTTTGAGCGTGTGAAATTGTAATGGTATTTTTTTAGATTTTCCTTCCACAGTTTTGACCAGTTTCTTGGAACTAAATTTGTGAGTCTTCATATATATTTTTATTATAACTTTTTTTTCATTTAAAGGGTGGCAGATTAATAGTCAACCCAGAACGGAAGAAGCAGAAGAAAAGCGACGATAATAAAGTGTTCATAAGCAACATCCCCTACAGCGTCGGGGCTGAGAGCGTCAAGGAACTCTTCTCACAGTTTGGGAAAATATCAGACGTGCGGATGCCACTCGACAGGAACGACGAGCGTTTCAACAGAGGCTTTGCCTTTGTCTCATTTCTTGACAAGTCGTCGGCTGACAACGCAATTGCCTCTGAGGATCTTCAGGCTAGTGATGCTGAATCCCTGACTTTGTCCTCGTAAATTTGTAACAAAATATCTTATTATATTCTTTTCTTGAGCTGATGGTTATACTTGCTTATGAAATCAACAAATGAATAAAACTAGATATTTCGTATTTCGTTAACTTTCTGATTTTGGACTCATGTGTTCTGTACAAATCAATGCTCCTTGTTAATGTTGATATCACCGTCCTTAGACGTTCTTGAGCTTCCATTCACGTGTTACTTGAAGAGTAACACCGCTTCAGATATCGAAGTTTCCTAATCTTCTACGAGTATATTTTTCAAGTATTTTAATGAATGTGTCAACGCTGACTCCTTTTGTCGCGGAACTTAACACGTATTTAATTAGTTGTTTTTTACGGCTAAACCACGAATATGGAAGAACAATTGGAACGAAAACTTTTCAATTCATTCAAACTTAGTAGCCTTTGGTTCAAATACGAGTCTAAATGCCTAAAAATGAGATAAATTATTAGCGTATTATTAATATTGGCAACAAAATAATGTGAACTTTTTCTAATCCAAAACGTGAAAAACCATTTATCAACATTTGACTAAGCCCAAAAAAATCTTATTTACTCCTGACAATCATGTTTTGAGCATATCAAGTCTGAGGCATGTATGAGAGAAATTAACTCTTTTTGATATTGATATACCGTAACTGCGAGATTAAAGCAAGTCCTTACTTTTCATCCACCACAACGATGTAAGTGACTTAGAGACGCACACACGCTCAACTCAGCTCCTAATGTTGACAGAAAAGTATGATGAGTATAAGTTGGTGGAGTTCAGAATAACTTCCCAAGGATTTATAAGTTTGTATAATTCGATCTTAGTGTTACTTTGAATTGAAGTATCAATGTGGTTGTTTCTTTTTCAGATCGAGGGGCGCACTTTAGCTGTAAAACTGTTCAGCAAGATTGAGGTACCGTACTTGATTCCTTATTCTTCATATTTTTTATACGTTTATATTTATCTGAACGTAGAAAAGACAGATTTCCCTCCAAACAAATATAGTCAATCCCGTTTAATTGGATTACATGGAGTTGCGGTGGTACAGAGAGACTGTTTCTCGCACCCAGCTACCGGGGTCGACTAAGGGCAAGTTCTTCCGTGAATCTAAGCTCATAGCTAACTCGGCCATTCATTCAATTCTGGTTGATAAATAAGTACCTGGCTTGTCCAGGGTGTTGTGCAATGCAGTCAAAATGGTTCTGGTGGGTTAGCTAGCCAGTGTTGGTCGTATAACTACCGGTGGCCTTAGTGCCCTGGAAAACTGAACAATCACCCTTCTCCTTCCCTAATCGCCATTACCAGGATGGGCAGTTGATGAACCCAATAACGATGTAGTAACAAAATAGTGTCGCTTATCAAAAGTTTATTTCAACTAAGCGGCTGATCTGATGAATTTGAATCAACTATACTCTCTGCTACTTATTATAGTGCCATAAATTTTGTAATAACTTCTGTTTTCATTTACTTCACTTATTGTATTTCAGAGAACTAAAACTAACACTCCACGCGATCACGAAGTATTTGTTGGAAGTCTGCATCCAGAAGTCACGTCCGACGACCTCGAGAAACATTTCTCTGCGCACGGGAAGGTTTTAAACGTTTCTATCCACAACGATAAAAAGAACAACCCGCCCAGGAAGAGTTATGCTTATGTTTCCTTCGCCAACGAGACCGCTAAAGATGCTGTCCTCGCGGCTGAGCACGAGGTGAGACATGTGCATTTTGACTTCAATATTCCTGCCTTTGGTGCCAAAAAAAGCAGTAAATATGGTCTCAGGGTTTCTGGAAATTCAAATTGGATTGATAATTAGTCAGAACTGAGTTAACGTGGGAGGAAAATAGATCGATGATTGTGTCCCGAGGTGGAACACATAATGGCTTAACTTGGGAGAAGGAGTCCCTTAGCATGGACGATTTACGCTAAGATTTGTTTTAGCACCTTATTTAAACTACGCTAAAAGTTTCAGTTGTAACTTTCAAGGCAGTGTGATTGACTTAATACGTTGTTTTATTGAATGTTATGGACCAAGATCTCAGTGTCGTCTTTGTTCTGTTCAAGCGAGCAAAATTGCTTAGATAGAAGCGTTACTAATTGGTTTCAGTTATATTTTTATTCAGCATCTCGTTCATAGCATAGTGATGGAATTCCTATTAGGTGTTGAATTTTTTATCTTCCAATGTTCATTTCTGATAGTGATTCTCTAATTGCAGATTGATGGGCACCCTATATATGTTGCTGAATTACGAAAGAAACAGGTGAGTACAGCTTCTTTGCAGTGTATTCTTTTTAGTCTCCATTATCTTGCTATTAGCGGTTGTTGTTGCGAATTGTTGCGTCTAATTCCCAATTTTTCAAGCGTCAATCATAACTATTAAATGTAAAATGTGCAAAAATGTATTTACGCTCTAGCCGCTCATTTGCTCATCGTGCTCTTTAGTTACAGATTGACGGTCATGCCTTGGGTGTTGAAGAAGGAAAGGTCTCGGTAAGTAGGCAAATCATCCTAAAGAATTTAGTCACTTAATTTTTCGAGTTTCTCAATACTTTTTACAGCACTTCTCTTTAACTTCACTTCTTGTTGTTTGTCAGTCAGTCTGTCTGTCTGCTACAAATCTTATAATCGATATTTAACACACTTCTACCTGTCCAATCGATCTGAAATTTGGCACACTTGCGTAAAGTTGGAGACAAAGCATGAATCGATTGACAGAACAAATAAAATTTTATAAATTAAAAAAAAATTTTCATTATTAAAAAATGTAAAAACAATTTCGTCTGCTACAAATCTTATAATCCATATATGACATAATTTGACATGTCCAATCGATCTGAAATTTTTTACAATTGCATAAAGTCAAAGACAATGCATGAATCAGTTAACAGAATAAATAATTTCGAAAATTTACAAAAAAAAATTTATATCATAAAAAATGTTGAAAAATATATTTTTTTAATATTTGAAAATAAAATTAGAAATTCATTGTACATGTGTAACATCTAAGACACTGGATTCTTCAGAAGTGTTGTCTTTTAAAAGTAGATTTTAAACGCATATTATTATTCTTTCAAAAAACTCGATGAAATGCTATAACTATCTTCATTCCAAATAAACAAACAATCGTTTGTCCGCGGCTTGAACACGAATGTAATGACAACTATTATTTCAAATCGACGAACAGCCGCCGTTTGACCTTGGCTTGAACACGAATGCAACAAATATTGTTTCAAATCAACAAACATTCGCTGTTTGACTTCGGCTATAACACGAATATAACCAGAGATATTATTTCAGATGGACAAACAGTCGCTGTTTGTTCTCGGCTTGAACAGGAAGACATCAGCCGCGACGCTTGCGCTTCACTTCGGTCGCTACGGGGAAGTCTCTGGCGTCGCAATGGAGGAAGACGCAAGCGGCGGCAGCTGCGCGGTGGTCACGTTCAGCGACGATGCCAGCGCTTCGGCAGCTCTCGCGGAAGATCACCAGGCGGGTTATGAATTTGCTTACCACATTCATTCTGTTTAAATAAAAAAGTCAATAATTTCGTAATTCTGTCAGAAGATAACCTGTGGCTTTTCAAGCTACTCTCACCAGTCACATACGAGAATGCGGAGTCGTGTACGTAAGCGGTTTTTGATAGGACGACTCATGATATCTATACCTTCCTGGCCTGCAGCGGGTTTTTATTTATCTTGGTTTGTTTGTCTTGTTGTAAAGCGTTTCAGCTGCATGGCCTTTCTTAGTTTCGTTTGGTATGGCTGTAATGTAAAATTTGTCGTTGGTAGACGTCGTACATACTTAGCAGGTCTAGAAAATTGCCGTGACACAATGGATATTTTGAGTCACAGTTGAAAGAAAAATTGATTATTTAACACGTTTTTCTTTATTTACAAATTTAGATTGAAGGAATCAGGGTGGTGGCTCATCAGGGTAGAAACTTTGATGAAACTGATAGTTCTTTTTTTTCAGATCGACTATTCATTCGTCACGATTCACAGGGTAAGATTCTATACGCAAATGGGCTAGATCTTGTTTCACTATTCACAATTCAGGTTCAGTATTTGAAAATTGAACATCTTTTGTCGCTAGTAAAACTTTTTCCTCTTGCTCATAACATTATGAATTACATAATGCCAGTTCCTGTCGAAAAGTAGAAGAAACGTGCGAATTTTTGGCTTGAATGCTTTAAATTTCATACCAATGCCTCGATAATTATTTGCATTTTAAAGATACGAAAAACATATTCTTTGACTCATTGTTCGTTCGTCTATAAGTGAAAATTAATGTTATACATTTAAGTTTTATTATAATTTTATTTCCCGACAGCACAAGATCACATCAAACAATGAAAGGTCCAGAAGAGACAGAGGAAAGACGTGTGACCGGCTCAACCGCAGAAGTGATGAAAATGAAGATGATAATAGTGATATTGATGAAAAAGAAGACGATGATAGTGATATTGATAACAATGAAGGCGATGATAGTGATATTGATGAAAAAGAAGACGATGCTGACAGTGATATTGATAAAAATGAAGGCGATGATAGTGATATTGATGAAAAAGAAGACGATGATGACAGTGATAATGATGAAAATGAAGACGATGATAGTGATATTGATGAAAATGAAGACAAAGATTGTGATAGTGATGAAAAGGAAGATGCGAGTGTAAATGACGGCCGGGACGTGGATAAAAATGGAAGTCGAGAGGGTAATGAAAGCGACTTGGATGAAAATGCAGCCGGCGAGAGTGAAGAAGAAAGTGATTGTTAGCTGAAAAGTTTGATCGTCACCTGGCGAAGAATTCTTGTGGATCCGAAACGTGACGGGTCACTGATTGAAGACCAGAGGGCTAGCGTTGCAAACTCGTGTGCCGTATAATTATAAAAAGTCGACCACGAAAGTGATGCAAAAGATTTTTTCTCGGTATGTTTGAGTTATTTTACCGAGTTGCGCTTTAGAGCTGCGTTTGAAACGTAGTGTCTGACTATTCTGATAATGATAAGCATCTGAGGAACTTGAGAAGAGTAAAAAATGAGCATCCAACAAAATATTGTGCTTTTCATTCTCATAAGTGAAGAAATTAAAAACTTTCACTTACATAATAAATAATATAATAACTTACAAATTTAGTTACGGAGTCAGGATAATGAAACTGACTTCTTGTTCACAATTTTCCGCGGTTGGTACCAATTCTAACAATTTCTTGGATATGAATTTATGAATTATAAGATAAAAAGAAAAGGTGCTACCGAGTTGGCCAAAGTATTCCAAACTAAGTCTAGACCAAAACAATATCTTAGCCGTATTGGCACCCAACTATGAGTTTAAAGTAGTACATTATAAAAATTTCATTTAATATAAAATTGAAGGACTTTAGCTGTAAGAGTGAAGATCCAAACGAGTTTTTTTATTTAATTTTAGGAAGATAACATTGCCCGTAAACCAAGAGTAAAAATCAGTCTACTGTTATAGCAGCGATCTCATAAATAAAAGGCATCACCAAAACTTGATCATTTTCAGATATACAAAACTACCGAAACGAACGCGAATTACAATTATGGGCACAAGAAATAATACTGAAAGTTCAAGGAGATCTCGGAACATCAGAGCTTGAGAAACCTCATTGATAACGTTAATCGTTAAAATTTGCCAGATTAAATCTAGAAGAATTGTTCATTTTTCTTAAACCTATTTTAATACAAAATATTGAGTATTGCACACATATCTCGTCGACCAAATAACAACGTTGAGTTAATAACGAAAAACAAAATCCTACAACACTAAAAATCTTTGGTATACACAGCACAAAGTAACAATGCCTATAGATTTTGATTGATGAACAATAGTTATTAGAGGAGGGAATTATAGCTGCATGAAATTGTAGGTTACGTATGCGTTACTAGAAATTAGCGTGCAAGTAGTTTTGAACATTGCTTGAAGACGGAGGAGTATTGTGCTTTGATTTGTTCAAGAGATGTGTACCAGCAAGGAGAGTAGCTAGGCCTGACCGGTACAACTTTGTGAGCCAGATTAACTTAATTTGGACATATGAATAAATATTTTATAATTCATAATTTTCATACAAATTTTATGAAAATAAATTTTTAAATTTATTTTCATTCATAATTTTTATAATTCATGCCTGGATGAAACAACGTTAAAATTTTTCGCGAAAATATGCAATTGGGAAGAGCACTTTTCTTTAATACTTGCGCTGTGACAGATGACATCTGTCAGAAAAATGTTTTGAAATAGAAGCACCAAATTATAATTACATGCAGGACCTCGCTGAAAGAATTCAACAGCGTATTTTTCAGAACCTGTATATTCGATACGGATTGGCAAATCAAATAACCTTATTGGACTTATATTTAAGTTGAATTTTAGAATCGCTTTCAACCATTCAGGCTTAATTCGCATGATGCAAAACTAGTGTGTAGTGTCTATATAAAGATGCATAAACGTCCAAGTCGTACCGAATTGACTTGGAGCTGCTTTGTTATATATACTATGAACAACCGTGAGAGGCGAATAGCATTGAATGCATTCAACAATCCATCTGGAAATCGTATAAAAATATACTTTTTTTCAATCGACGTCGCATCGTCCAACAAGAATATCGTAAAAATCCATTACTTTAAATAACAGCTAGAATAAATTTAAAGCTATAAATCAGCAGCAGCAGCCGTTTTTCAAAAACTTAATACAACTGATTTTTTTACAATTATTAATGAATCTGAATTATTAATGAATTATCCATTTGTGACACAATAGCACCGTAAACCAAGTGTAAGAGTTGAAATCTCAACAAAACTTATGGTTTAGAATTTTTCTAATTGGCCTGTCTGTTTTGAAAAAAATGCCAAAGAATACATTGTAAAACTACCATAAAATTTTGGCATTGTGTCGCAAGGGATAGTCAGAATATATTCTACATAGAAAATCTAAGGAAGACCAGGGCAACTAGAGGGGGGAAAATGGACACTAACATCACACGAAGATAATGCAGGTCAAATTAGGAACAGACAGAACATGCTTCAGTAAACGGATGAGATAAACATATAACTTGATAATCTTATGGAATGAATTCGACTCGGCATGCCGCGTTTCTTGCTTTTGACGGGACAAGTCGGCCATATAAATGAAAAAGTTAACCATCGCTGTCTGTAAATCAGAACACCAGCGTCCCGTGCAACCAACTTTCTAACCCGAAGTAATGGGTGCAGAGCATGAAAGAAACATCATGTATACAATTCATTTAAAAACTAAATGCTAAAATTTACCATTGATCCCACGTCTACCCATATTAAGTGCATAACTAAGAATCGTAAGAAGAATTTTGGAATCGACAATTAATCCAATCAACTTTGAAGAATACGAAGTCGGATAAACAGGCAACATGAAAATCGATCAGCATTCCTGATTTTCGCTGGGGAACACGGCCAAGACACTTCGGTTATAACATCAAATTTAATTTTGTCGACATCAGCTTAGCGTAATTATAATGATAGAAATGTAAGTACAATCCACCTTTAGTAATCTATGTTGCCAAAGTCGATTAAAAAATTACATTTTAATAATCCAGGAAAAGGTGCCTATCATCGTCGCTAGCCCGTCTTTATGACCAGGCCAGAAACTACCACTAGCCCGTCTTGATAGCCAGGCCAGTAACTACCACTAGCCCGTCTTGATAGCCAGGCCAGTAACTACCACTAGCCCGTCTTGATAGCCAGGCCCGTGTCGAGACCCAACACTTGCTTGCTGAGCTCGTAGACGCTGAAGCTCACAGCCACCATGGGCACGGCGCGCAGGTAATTGATACTCATGCCCCTGTACAGGCCCCGTACGATGCCGTCCGTTTGGTAAATCAGCTTCAACGTCAACCACATGCTCGTCCTGTCCATAAAACACCTCTCATACATAACAATGTACATTAACAATAGCTCGATAATCAAAAGATTCATATAATTTGTATCAATAATAATTTGATGAAATAGATCTTTAGAATGCAAATAGAATAAATTTATACTTGAACAAAATTTACAAATAAACAGTAACCATCAATAGGTTTTTATAGCAAGAGGCTCAATGAGATGCATGAGGAAATGATAGGGTAAGTCAACTAACCCATAATGCTGCGTCTCCTTGCTCATATAAGCAAGTTGCATGCGTCTCCTGGTGACGTCGAAAGGATAACTGAAGCTCTGAGCGACTGAACCAGCGACGCCACCAGCCAACAGCTTGGCCGGTACAGCCAGCATTAGACCACCTTCGAGCACAGGTCTATATATTAATAAAGTAGAGCATCACCATTACTGATCAAAATGCTGTGTAGACGCCATATCCGAACTTGCTCGCCATCATGTGTTAGCTCAGAAATACCTGTCAGATTTTGTGAAAATGTCAGTAGCTGAAAGAATTGCGTTAGTTGAAAATGAAACAAGAAGCCATAATCTTCTATAATACTTGTGCTAAACAAGATATACAACCTAACGACGATAATTAAATATCATCTTAAATTCAGGTAGCAACACAGAAGATACTAAATGTGTTAAACTAATAGACACCTTACTTCGGTAAGCATCCCACAAATACTCAAATTATAGTAAAAATAACTTTCCTGCACAAACAATAATGTATCCCCACCTGTGTTGTGATCACACGGCTTACAAGTTATGGATGGCAGATAGACCATACACAAATATTTAATTTGTTCAAAGCAGGAAAAACTGAGACCAGCGTACGGGATCATCCCACAGACTGTGGGAGTGAAACCTCTGTACAGAGCTCGAACGCCACCTTCCTGCAATTAGAAGACCAATTCCAAATTGATACCAATTACCATCAAAGAATAAAAATTAGGAAGTAGAAGTGCAGTTAACTACAAAAATTATCACAAATTATATTGCACAGGGCAATTTATACCATTTTCTGAAAGATCACCTTTTATTTTTGAACTCTCAAATTTTCACTCGAGTGTCTGCTTGTTAAAACAGCATATCCACCTTGTGGTTACCTCTGTAAAATACTATCATGACCATTGATATTTATTATTGATACAGTTGATCCCAACCTAGTCGGGCTTTCATTGAATTGTGATACCGAAACTGGCATCTATTTTATACCTCTTTCACAATAGTAGCGAATGCATGGAAGATGCCGAGGTACTTCTTTTCCACTTGAAAAGCCAGTCGTGCTCTGACAGTGTCTAGAGGATAAGTCAAGAACACAGCAGTCACGCCAGCCAGGGAGCCTGACAAACCAGACACCAGTCTTCCTCCACTCGGGAACAGTCGGTTTAAATGCTGGAAGAAACAAATTATTGGAGACTGAACTTTCATCTACCTTTCAATAATTACCTTGATGAAATTGACAGGAATTAACTTCTTCATATTCAATGTTAAATGACTGTTTGCTGAATGAACAGCTATTTAAAGTGTTGAACCACAGCTCTTATGAAGTTTCAATAAATTGCAAATTATTTTCCAAAAAAATGTGCTAAGAACACCTCACTGGTCCTATAACAGCTGCTGATATACGAGCACAAAAAGTATTCCTGCAAAAAAAAAAAAACTTTAGATTTTTCACACATCAATAACTTCAGAATACATGAAAATGTAAGCAAACTAGGTATGCTACCACATTCTTGAACCCAACTATCTTCAAAATAAAATAATTTTACTTACCTTTTTGTACACCTCAAATGAAGCAAATTGAGTGGCAGCATAAGGGAAAACTCTGACCATCTGAGCTCCGTTGCCTTTGTACAGAGCCCAGCCGGATTCTTTTCTCACGATTGCAGCAAGGCCAGAAATAACCCCTGCAAAGAGATAACAGACTTAATATCATACTTAAAACGTGAATAATTAGATACAAAAGTAAGCTGAAATGCAATTGACAGATTTTTGTTAGCACACTATTACAAAGTCACTTCAAGGGAAAAGATGAGTTCATAAAAAAGTCTACGATTTCCCTTCAAGGTGCATAAAATTGGATACTTCTTAATAAAAGTATATAAATGTTACTGTAGATGCAATTCCGCAAGAATTATATGTTTACTTGTGATTACCAGAAAACAAATAGTTCGAGCTCATTTTAAACACCAACTGACATGCAGCACAATAAGTTTCAAAATTTGCTTGATGATTAAGATCTTTGCAACTTATGCATGACTACAAAAATACACTTGCACTCTCCCTCTAAAGTAACTGAAAGGCTAGAAAGTGTCAGATTGGAAAGAGAGAGAGACAGAGTGGGAGAAATAGAAATGGAATGCAACGGGACTAGTTGTTGCAAATATGAGACACAACTATGTTTGAAGCCTTTCTAGCTTTTCCAAGCAACTTGCTCAGAAAAATTGTTGGCAAGTAAAAAAGGTTTTCATGTGTCACTTTTTGGGCTTCCTCATCTTTCTCATTCTCAACAAGCTATCCTCCAAATACCCCCCCCACCAAGCTATCTACTTTCCACTCATAATAAAAATTATGAAGGAATCATACATGTAATTCCTCCCACCAGTAAGCCATTAAAACCAATTCCCCTACTCTTTCCTCACCCCTCCATTCAAAATCACCCTCGTTTCTGTAAGCACATAATATGCATAATATTCAGGCTCTGCAAGCATAATAAATCTTATTCCATTCATTCCACCTGCACATACATTCACTCACACTTGGCCAATCTGCTTTAATATTGTATTATCAACAACCATTTGACCCCTAGCACACCAGGCAATCAATGTGCCTATGTACCATGCAGATCACATCAACACTGCTATCTGCACTCACCCTTATGTTCCATCTATAGATCAATATTTCTTGAAACTATATTTCATCATATAATTTTGTATCTAACAAGAACATTTCATTTTTGCTTACATAGGCCTACCGTACCTGGGAATTCTTCATTTTTGTACATCTCATTTGCATCCTATATAGTATACAGGGTGTCTAAAAAAAACGATACCCAACTTTGAATGGCTGTAACTCAAAAAGTAATAGAGTTAAAAAATTTTTGGAAGGTCAGGCTTTGTTCCCTATGTTTTTCTCCATCTCTCCACCAAAAATCAGACAGATCGATGTAGCCATAAGCGTTGGACAGAACTTTCAGTGACGTGTGCTAAAAGCGTGCTTGCGCAAAGTTTTAGTAAAATCATTTTGCATAAACATTACCTTGTCTTGACATGTTTTCTTTTCGCCGTTTGATTTTTAGCGCATTTTCTCATTTATGAAAAAATGCACTATTGTGCTCGCCATGTCCGTCTGTCCATCCGTCCTTCTGCCCGTCCGTGACTTCATGTTTTCGTCAACAAGAAAATCTTTGGTGAGAGGCAATCTTTGGTTTTGAAATTCTCTCTCACCAAAGATTGCCATCATTGTCTTTCACCAAAGATTGCCATGATTGTGTCTCACCAAATATTGCCATGATTGTGTCTCACCAAATATTGTCATGATTGTGTCTCACCAAAGATTGTCATGATTGCCTCTCACCAAAGATTGCCATGATTGTCTCTAACCAAAGATTGTCATGATTATGTCTTACCAAAGATTGTCATGAAGCAAGCACGATTTTAGCACATGTCACTGAAAGTTATATCCAATGCTTATGGCTACATCGATCTGTCTGATTTTTGGTGGAGAGATGCAGAAAAACATAGGGAACAAATCCTGACCTTCCAAATTTCTTTAACTCTATTACTTTTCGAGTTACAGCCAATCCTGACCTTCCAAATTTTTTTAACTCTATTACTTTACGAGTTACAGCCATTCAAATTTGGGTATTGTTTTTTTTTGGGACACCCTGTAGCCTGTATATCCTCTCAATTAGGCCTTATTTCATTCATATATTATAAACATACAAAAATCGGTCCACAATATAGAGTTTGTGCAAGTTACATAGAAAATGTCACTGAGAATTCTGGAATATCAGTAGTTATAGGAATAGTTTAATAGGAAGATTTTATATAGTGCTTAACCAAGCACTTTCTGTAGAAGAGCAGCAACTTGTGTACAGTGACAACTCAGGAGTCAGTAACAGGACAGTGGTTTGATTTGCAAATTATTTGTTATACCTGAATAAAGAGTACGTAATTCTGACTTCACTAATATTATAATATTGAACATAGATTGTGATAAAAGTCCAAAGATTGTCAATAGTTATTGAGCAACAAAAGGCAGGATATGTACTATTTTTCCAGGACCTATACATGCTAGAACTTCACATAATTCCTAAAAAAGCCCAAGATGCTGCAGAGGCTATGTGAGAAATTGAAAAAAAAACAAGTACCCATCAATAAATGATAACAGAAATAAAAAAAGAAGAAAGAAATACACCACATCAAACATACCATGATTTCTATAATGTGTATTGTGAGCTTGAAGAAGGATCTTGATTCTGTCCAGTGGTGCAACTGTTGATTTGGCACACATTCCAGCAACTCCTGAAAACAGAGAGCACTTGAGATATTTCTAAAATTATTAGCAAAAAATGAAAGCCATTTCAATTTGGCATCATATCAACAGCAGAATGATAAAAATGCTTCATATTTTGACAAAGATAATATATTTTTATTTGCTCTTTCTTCACATTTAAAAACAGGTACAAAGGACATAATTGCAGATGAAGTACACAAATTCATTTGCACATGGATTTATTTTATACATCATAAGTCATAAATAGATTGATAATACAAAAAAAGAAAAAAAAATTAATTTCAACAACTTAAACCAAACAAATGTTGCTGTTCATACCTCCAGCAAGAAAACTACGGGCAATAACAGAAAAAGAGAGGGAAGTCATCGGAGTATTTGAATCCCCCATATTCAGTGTGTCTTCAGCTGAAAAGTTCAATCTTCAATGCTCTCTAATGACAGAAACAATGATTATTCTGAAATATTTGGAGAATATTATGCAGCATTAGTTGGCAGGGCTGGAAAAGTCCTATTTTTTCTGAAATATTGTGGCTCTAATATCATATAATTTCAGTACNTTAGATGTGTATAAGAGACAGGCTTTAAATAATAGCTTTTTTTCGTGGGTCACATTTTTAATTTTTTAACCTATTAGATATGCAAACTTTTCAAATCTTTCTATTGTGTTATGTAGCCTCAGTATTAGACCTTTAATGCCCATTGACAAAAATTTTCTATGTCAAATAGTTTTTGAGTTGGAGGGGGTTTTTGTTAAAAAAACGAAAAGTGGTCTAAGTTACCCCGCCGGTCTAAGTTACCCCATTTTACGGTAGGTATGAAATTGAAATCTCGCAGCTCTAATGTCATGTAATTGTGTTTGATTGAAAAAATTGCAGTTTGCACTCCGCATGTATGACATAATATAATTGTTAACAAAAATGCATGATCTGGCCACAAGATTCCAAATGTATCAAACATTTGTCACATTGAACAGTTGAAGCCACAAGATTTCAGAAAAAAAGTGGGGAAATTCTAATCCTGACCTGTCAGTGGTTTAGTTCAGAGTATACCAAGGTTAGAGCAGAGAGGTGTGGGTTCAATTCCAGCTCTGTGCGCCAGTTTCTGGTCAGAATCGGCAAGGAGGCCGGGCGGTTAAGCAAAGAAAATTTGAAGCAGTGAGTTGCGGGTTCATGCCCGCAACATGTTGTGGATGTCTCTTATACACATCTAGATGTGTATAAGAGACAGGCATCTGAGGGCATCACAGACCTGTTATTGCTCTCATTCTCGTACGGCTTCAGAGCCGTCAATCTCTCTAAGAAGAACTTGCACCACACAACCCACTTGCGTGGGTGTGAGCCGACGGACTTGGAGTGCCAAAGACACACGCCCAACAACACGCCGCCCCACTGAACGCAACATCCAGGCCCGCAGGACGAAAAGGCATAACACAAGGCCTCGAGCGCGAAAAACCCACACAAAGTGAGCCAACACACAACAAGACCAAGATCACACCCCACACCCAAACGGGGACCCCAGAGCACGCCACAGGAAGCTAAGCGCACNGGCTTAACCTTATACACCATGCTCACCTTTACCGCCCACCACACAACCACCGCAGCAAAAGCCTCTGAGCCTCAAAACGTAACAACATACAGAAAGCACTCTCAGGCACTTCTTTTGGACAAGACAAGGAAACCCTACTACAAACATACAAAGCCATCAGCTGCCCAATAATTGAGTACGCCAGCCCAGCCTGGACTCCTGTCACCTCTCCTACTCCTACGTCCTACCAAAATCACCCGCCTCCAAACAGTTCAAAATTCTGCTCTCAGAAGTTGAAAACCATAACCAGTTGCCACAAAACAACGGCCAAACAACATCTTCACTCCGAATGTCAAATGCTCACTGTTCAACAACATACAGACCTCCTCTCAGCGACTCAGCCCAGTACCTTCTCATTTCTGCAGAGTCACCTCCCTCAACACACCTGCCACCAAATCACACGACCGCACCCCCAACCCCACAACATAAGATATACTCTTTTCACCAAATACATAAGTGCCTTTCAACCTTCACTCCCTGCCACTGGCACTATTAACAATGCCACCCTCAAAGCAGCTAGCAGCACTCTCCAGTCTCCACTCCAACTGTCCAACGCTGCCATTGACTTGTACCACCCACCGCCACCAGTTCTGCTCAACGGCTGGCCTCCTCCGCTCCCAACAAGAGATAAATCTGAACAAACACTTCAAAGATCCCCCGGAGTCCAGACGGACCCTAGCACAGCTTTGCTCCAGCCACTGCATACTCCTGATCCTGAACAGTTACAAAAGCAGAATTCATAACAACATCAATAACCTATGCAACTACTGCCACCTCTCCCCAGATGATATGCCTCACCTCTTCAACTGCCCTAACAACCCAACTCCACTCAGCACCATAGACCATTGGAGGGAGAGGAGTAGGGACCCATCTGTGCGCATAGTGGCAAACCAGTGATTTTTTAGAATCAGTTCATTTTTAATTTTCTCATATCTATTGTATGATAATGCTAGTATCCATGATACTTTGCTGGTCTACTTATAGGACTTGAAATTGAACTTGAAGGAGAGTCTAAAAAACTCTCTGCTTTGCCACTATGATAATTTCTGCGGTCGTGCGGCGTGCGTTGGCTCCAGCCGTGGCTGAAGTCTGGACCAGTGACGCCGGGATTGGGCGCGGGGCAACAACAACATGTTAAGAATCGGGGACAGGCCTACGCATAGTGGCAAAGCAGCGAGTTTTTTAGACTCTCCCTCAAGTTCATTTTTGAGTCCTATAAGTAGACCAGTAAAGTATCCTGGATACCAGCATTATCATACTTAAGAAATTGGTTTAAATCTTGAGTAAATAAGGAAATTGAAAATGAACGGATTCTATAAAAGCTCTGGTTTGCCACTATGGGCCTACAGCTACGGGCTATGGCCTAATAAACGCTGAAATGGCTATATTAATATTTTACTGCATATTTGGAAAATTATTACATATGAAACATAAAAAGTTGATATCAAATTTTTCAACAGCTAAACAATATAAACGGTGATCGCTGTGAGCAGCAGAAGAAAATTTATTTTTATGCATCAATGCTGTACATGTACAAGTTACAACGTGTACATTAAGGCTTGTAGTCAAAATGCAGCGAAGTCTGAGAGGGAGGTTTTTGCAACCATCGTGTAAAATCCTTGATCTGCCCAAAGCTTGGCCAGTCGCTACCCTCGAGCTTGTACTCTTTGTAATATGATATCCTAGCCAGACTCTCCTTCGCGGCAACTGGTCGCTTTCAGGTGGCCAAGAAATGGCCAACGGTCGGCTATAACTTATTGGATAGGCCGACCACTGGCCACGTATTATTCTTCGCCCCTCATTGACTTCGCCTTTACCATGCCACCCGTTGTGAACTGACAGTTGAGCAATTTACGACGTCTCTTTCCCCTCAAACATTGCACAACATCTCCATTTGAGCAGCTAGTAGTATATGAGGATTTTCCCTCCGCGTATCAGCAGATTCGATCATAAATATTTTTTGGTAGGTAGAAAATATCTATAACAAGGAAGCTGATCAAGGAATGCCAAATGTACCATTCAAATTTCAATTGACAATAAAAATTACAACCCGTTTATATCTCGAAAAAAGTGTAAAAGTCGCAGACATGATGAACAATAATATTCAAAGTTTCTTGAAATTTCCTCTCATTAAAACTCTTCTAATACAAAGTTTACATATTTTTTATTACTGGTCGACGCTTATAAATAAATAGCTGGGCCTGGGTAAGTATGGAAAAATCCTTATCGACATCTCATTTGCGAGTGGAGTAAAGTCTATCCTAATTAGTGAAGAAACGCTTAGGGAAGAGCCGAGCCTGTTCCAAGGCCGAAGCCTCTCGGTTTTCAATCAGGGCCTTAAGGAGCCCCTAAGTTTAGTGCCTCTCAGGACAAGTTGAAGTCAAATAAAATTGTACCGGGCAGGATTGCACGGTACGAAGTTTAAACTATTATAATATTTTAATATTATATTTTATATCATGATTTTATGTCATAATATTATGATAATATAAATTAAAATGATTTATGTTATAATTATTGATAATGTGAATAATATTATGATATTTTATTATAAATTACCTACAACGGTAATTTAGACAACAGAAATGACTTAATCGACAATTCTACGGACCCGCCTGCGGACTCGCACAACTGGGCCACTCATAATTCCTTAAATACTTAACGGATCTGTATGAATTTTGGAATATGAGTATTAATTATCGATACGCTGCCGCAGGAATTATTACAGATTTTTACATGAATTATTTTTTAATTAAAACCAATAAACGTATTTACTCTTCTTTATCTTCACGTCGTCACAGGACAATGTCATATTTGTTTGGTAAGTTTGCAAGGAAGGGAAAACTCCGTACAAATTATTTTCATTGTAGTAATATAACGTTAAAGAATTTCTTCGGTTGTCATAAAATAATTTGCGACGCAAAAAGATGCTTCATATTTTTGTACGTTTGCTTTTACATATTTCTGGGGTTGATTATTACTACAAAATTCATTAGTTTTTACTACATTTTTGCATCGAAAGTAAAAGTTAGTTTTTTTTCCTCTCTACAGTACGTGAACGCCTACAATGCGCTGATTATACTGTTGGTGATGACCATCGTCACGGCATTTGCTTACCATGCAATTCGGAACCTAGACATCATAAAGCATCACAATGATCAAATCAGCAACGTTGATGACATTTCACTCATCATATGCCTTCCTTGTACTCTGCTCTTTGCTTTCTTCAGCATAGTGCCCTCAGTACTAAGCGGCAGCGTTTTATTTTTGGCTGTCAACATTATGCAAGTCATAAAAACCGTACTACAAACCGTCCTCATCGGAGACGGTCTCCGAAGATGTGCCAGCTCTTCGAGCTTACAACAATAGAAACCCAGGCGAGAAGTCTTCACATTCTACTCGACACTATCAAAACTAATCAATGTAAAAATCTGCAATAATTCCTACCGCAGTGTATCAATAGTAACTACTCACATTCCAAAATTCCAGCAAATTCGTTTTGAAGTATAGCAGTTATGAGTGGTTCATGCGTTTGAGTCCGCAGGCGGGTCCGGAGAAGTGTCGATTCCGGCTCGCGGCCAGTCTTACGGCCAATTCAATATACGGGATATATAGGTATTGAATATACATTCCTAGCCTCCCAACGGTGATGTTTAGCTCGTGAATTTTTTTTTTTCTATTTTTTCTTCGTTTGTGAGTTATAAGGATATACGGAGAAATGAGCGGAATTTCTGAGGCCGATTTTTAAATTTACATTCACAAAGAGTATTAACATATTGTCAATATTGCATTGACAATATACGTATATCCGTATAACTCGCAAATGAAGGCAAAATCGAAAAAAAAATGTCACGAGCTCAACATCACCGTTAGGTTTCTTCCTTATTCGTCGTTTCATTCAAATTTGTTCAGTAGTTTAGAATAAATTTCTTGGTCACTGTAAATTTCGGCCCGAATTGCCATATAACTCATGAATGAAAGTGAAATGGAAAAAACTTGTAAAAGAAGGTAAAACCGAAAAAAATTGTCACGAGCTAAACATCACCGCATGTAGGCTAGAAATGTATTTTCAAAGTTTCGTGCAAATCTGTTCAGTTGTTTATAAGAAATTTCTTGGTCACTGCTAATTTCGGCCCTAATTGCTCCATAACTCACGAATGAAGGTGTAGTTGAAAATTTTGCACGAGCTAAACATCACCGTTAGGTCTTGATGAATATGTGTACCAAGTTTCATTGAGTTGCGTTCATTAGATTTGGAGATATTCCTTGGGCACTGAATTTGTAGATTGGCCCTGAGACCGGTCCTGAGTCCAGCCGTAAATTTGTCCCAGACCTCTGAGAATCGCCCACAGTAGTGTCGTGTAGTTAACGATTCAACTGTGCGCCTGCTGCCTGCATAAAATGTTTACATTGCCTACAGCGGACAGGACAAAATTTAAAAATGTTTTGCTAATCACAATTGATGTGGTTTTTGTTTGAATTTGAGGAAAACTTTTCTTCAAGAAGTTCGATGGGTTTATAAAGTTATTTCCTAACCGCCAGGAAAATTGGGGTTATGGTTTACCTATCTATAGTCTATGAAGGAGAATGACAAAATCTGCGTGGCTTGATGGGTTCTAATTCTAAATTATGCCTTCCATCTGATCTGATAGTACGGACCATTTATTTAGTACCTAACTCTTAATGTAATACATGTGTCTTCTTCAATGGTAATGGTAGCGTGTTACCTACTTTTCTAGGCTTCCATGACCACAAGTATGAATGATTCATTGCTAAAGTCATTTAATCTTCATTAGGACATTATGGATATGTTCGACATGAAGTTATAATAATTTTGTACACTATTTGTCACTTGTGTCATGTGTCAAATTTTGCTAGGTACCGTATCTCTAATCTCTAATAATGGAAATGAAACGGAATTTGCCTCCATTAATTGATTCAGATCTTGAGGTGAGTTGCTTGGTCTTCAATCTTCATTTTGCTCTTTTTTAACAATTACTTACCTATCAATGGACTAATGGAGCCAGGCAAGCCTGCTCAGCCAGGTTTGCAAAGTAAAGTCAAATTTAATCTAAAATGACAAGGCTTTGAAGCCATTCTTGAACCTTGAACAGAATTTTCCTTGAAGTGTTGGTAAAATAGGTAAAGAATGTTGTTAAATTAAAAAATAATCCTCAAAAATAATGTGTAAATATGTTTAATTTTTTTATTTTTCTAATATAAATTTGGAAAAGCTATTTAAAAGGGTGGATTTTTGCAATAATCATTGCCCTAACTGGAAATTCTGAAATAAACAGGATATTGGATATTAATATGTTTGTTCAAACCAAGTCTCATGCTTCTCAACTTCTCAAGTAAAAAAGTGCCATCAATTCTGCAGAATGCCTGAAATATATATTTGAATAGATTTGAACTCTGTGGTACAACACATCATTGACTGTTGACACAAATTCAGGGCTGGAAAAGTCCTACTTTTTTTCTGAAATATCCCAGCTCTAATATCATATAATTTCAGTAGGTATGAAATCTTGCAGCTCTAATGTCATATACCGTCATAGTGACAAACCAGAGATTTTTTAGAATCAGTTCATTTTTAATTTCCTCATTTACTTAAGATTTTAACTAATTTCTTATGTATGATAATGATTTATGATGGTATCCAGGATACTTTACTGGTCTACTTATAGGACTAAAAAATGAACTTAAGGGAGAGTCTAAAAAAACTCTCTGCTTTGCCACTATGTATAATACCGTCAAACAGGATATAAAAGGACGGTTTTAAGCATTTTTGTTAATAACTTCTTACCATGAAACATTTCAGAAACAAGGTTAGGCTCATTTTATATCTTTGCAAGGGCTATCCAATGGCATCTTCAAAAAAATTCCATATGCTATTCGTAAGGTGCCAGACGCCATAGTGACAAAGCAGAGAGTTTTTTAGACTCTCCCTCAAGTTCATTTTTGAGTCCTATAAGTAGACCAGTAAAGTATCATGCATAGTGGCAAAGCAGAGAGTTTTTTAGACTCTCCCTCAAGTTCATTTTTGAGTCCTATAAGTAGACCAGTAAAGTATCATGGATACCAGTATTATCATACTTAAGGGGACCGCCCTAGCATACGAAAACTTCAACAGTTATTATCCGATTGTCATGAAACTTCACATACATACGTAAAATGTAAAAAAAAAACATTTTGCTCCTATAAATTTTTCGAAAAAATTGATAGAAAACGTGAAATTCATAGAAAACGGCTATAAAGGGGTACTTTAGAAAATCTATCTCCTCCCACAAATATCATCCTACAACATCGAGACACGTATCAACAGGCCTTCCTTTGTGGAGTGACCAGCGCGTCATTTATCCTCGTAGAGTTTTGTTAAGGGACCTAAAACCCGCCTCCCTTTGAGGAGCTGTCACAAAGTCATTTTTCGACGTACAGGGACGATACTTATACCGTTCGATGCGCAAGAAAACAACCTTTAAGATGAGATAAGAAAACAGAAAAACTCAAAATTTTCAAATTTTAGCTAGGGTGGTCCCCTTAAGAAATTGGTTAAAATCTTGAGCAAATGAGGAAATTAAAAATGAACTGATTCTAAAAAAGCCCTGGTTTGCCACTATGCCAGACGCATAATAAAACCATCCCAATTTACCCCTGGGAAAGGGGTAATCCGGGACACATGCAATAAAAGTTAATTTTAAAACGTTTGAAGCATGCAGAGTGTACTCATCCATTACTAACAGTACTTTGAAGTCCTCCTCTTCCATTGTAGATGATGTAGATGTAAAATAAATGACATTTTCTGTGATTTTTACTTGTTTTTCCTTTATTGATATTATATTACCATATTCATTAATTACCATATTATTAATATGATATTACTGTATCCATGGACGTGATGGACATGCCATTGGGCATTGACAACGACCTTGTCCACTGCAGGCTTCATATCAGCAGCCATGTAGCATTTCTTCTGTATCTGTAAGCTTACATGATGGTTTGTAATTTTGCACAATTTTAATCAAGCCAAGGGATTTCACTTTAACAAAAAAGATCATGAAAAACATATCTGAAACAGAAAATAATATTTTCGTGACAAGCATCATATGTTTTGGAGAAATAAATCATAGTCTTTGTCAATTACTTTTCATTATATGATGCCCGGTGCACAATTCTATATATAGCATTCTATGTACAATTTTGTGATGACCGATGATGCACTAATTTTTCGATAAGTGAATTTTTTTTTCACTGAGCGAGGTAAATGTAATCAAAATTCTTTGTTGTTAATCAATTTTTTTGTTAACTGGGACCTTTGATAACTGAGGTTCTACTGTAAATGCATTTTTAAAGGTGTCCCTAATTTCCCCGTGGGGGTGTCCCGAGTAGCCCCACCATGCGGAAATGGCTGCCATTTTTTTTGGAATGAGATAGGCAAATTCCGTCAATTACGTTTTCAAGCCAACACCTGGGTGCAACATTTATGTAAGTAAAATTTTTTAATACAGCAAATATTTTTTTTGCTCCAGACCTTAGCAGAGGTACTTTCCAAAATTGAACTTTTCACACTTTTTTCAGCAATTGTTTAGAGATAGTAAATGTTTGATTTCTTGACTAGGTAGCTTTATACATAATAGATAGTAAAAATGTTGAAATTTACGCCACTATTTTTAGTTTTGCAATATTTTGATTAGTTTAGCTGATACAACATTTCTACGAAATATGGGACGCGTGTCCCGATTTACCCCACCCGTCCCTTTTTACCCCTTTTGACGGTATTTTTGTTTGATTTAAAAATTGCGGTTTGCACTTTGCAAACGTGTCATTTCATAAAATTTTCCACATTACTACTTCAACACTCCAGGCTCCAGCTAAAATATCCTGCTGAACAAGATAACAATAAGTTAACCCAAAATGTTTCCTTGAAGATTGCATAGCTGAGGTCATGTCAGAGTGGTCAGACTGTATTATCACATGTTCAGTTGCCACTTGTGTGAAGACAAATGTTAGTTTTGCTGTTTGACTGTTTTATAGTAAAATTAGAGATATGGGGTAACATGTGCAAGGACTTTTTAAATAAGTTTGCGGCTCATAAATGGCCTTTTTTGGCCAAGATATGGAATTCATGGCTCAAAGAAATGGAATCACAGCTGGCAAATCCATAAAACCATGGCTTGAAAAATTCATTCGTGGCTCGCCAATTAGATATATACCATGCCTATAGCCTGATTCACAATCATACCAACGTTAAAATATTACTATGCCATAAAGACAGTAGGTACTAAATGTACCAAAACTTTCAAAATTGGAAGGAATGAAGTGAATATTAACATAACATAGCGATGTCGGCGCTAGAGTAGGCTTGATGTGGCCTATCGCCGATTCTTACTTTTCATTACTTGTTCACAGATCTAAAGTCGTGTCATTTGAATGGATCTTTTCAGGACTGACGATAGTTTGTAATAGCTACTAGACTTTACCGGGTTTGATATGGTGCTAGGCATTTCAACTCTGAACATATATTTTTCCATAGCTTTATCTAGTCTGTTCTTGAATGCATTCATACTCGGAGTGCCAACAATGTAATCGGGGAGGCTGTTCCTCATGTCGGTGATTCGAAGCGAGAAGAAATGTTGTTGCATGGATAAGTTGCAGTGCAGTTTTTTTTAGTTTATAGCCGTGGCCCCTGGTGTTAGTTCTTGTTCCAAATTCTAGTTCAGTAATCCTTTGGGGACCTTGTATAAACCATGAGTATACTACTTGTATACGTACTTCAATGAGGTCCCCAAGCAGAAGGCGATAACTGAGGCTTGGAAGCTTCATAATCTTTATACTTTCTTCATAGGACTTGCCCTTCAAGACTGGAATTATCCTTGTTGCTTGTCTTTGAACATTCTCTATTAAATTTTTGTCCTTTTCAAATCTTGGTGACCACACAACATTTCCAAACTCTAGATTCGGGTGCACAACAGCAACGACAACTGCTTCATCGCTTCTGCATCTAGGAACTCGGAAAAGCGTCTGATTAGTCCAAGAAGTTTGTCGGATGTATTAGCTTGCATTTTGACATGCTTCAAAAATTTCAGCTCCTTGTCGACATATATATAAGGTCCGAGATCTTTTTCCACACTAGACTTTTCAATCATTACTCTCTCCTTGTAACTATGTCTTCTCATACTGCAATCTTGCTGTTCATTGTTCTTCCCAAGATGAAGTACTTCACACTTGGCATATCAGCCACATATCAGCCCAGTTAACTAAATTGTCAAGATCATCTTGCAATTGCGCTGTATTTGACGCATCCTTCACTGTATTACATTGAGACAATTAATTGATTCCATGGTAAGATCTAAATATTCCTCCTAAATCTATTGTTATATGCTAAACTCAATTTTATTGCAAGGGCAAAAATTAATACTAGTGTGTCTGTAAGGGTCAGGCAAGTAAAATTTTCTATTGGATCATAAGCACTTTATCTCATCTCATCTTACAGGCTGATTTGAATGATGAAGATTTCCATCATTCAGTGAATTCAAATAATACATGTTTTTTATACTAAATTATTTTTCAGGGTGAACTCCATTTGGTCTTGAGTGGTGCATCAGTCACTCCTTGCCTGGATCCTCACCTGAGTCTTGCTGTCACAGGAGTGTGGTATGGTGACCCAGAAGCCTTTGTATGCAGGCAAGTATTTCTACCCAAGGTTGGCTGCCTATTTCTACTTTTGGTTTGGTTAGAAATGCTCAAAAAATTATTAATATTTCTGAAATATTCATTCAAATCTACTTTTGCATGTGATACTCTTGCATGCTGTGAGTTATTTCATGTTAAGTAAATAAATATGAATAAGTATCATCTCTACCTAATCAAAATGTAACCATCTTCAATTTGAATGATTTCACCCTTGATGTTTTTATGTTACGGTATCCCAAAGTTTTGATAAAAGTTATGGATTATGAGATATGAAATGACCAATGACCATGTGGGTAGGTCAGTAAGAATGTCCCCTATTGCATGTTACTCAATGTGCAATTACAAAGGTGCAACATGGCTAAACAAGTGAAAGTTTTGGAAATAATTGTTTCTGTAAAACATGTTGTGGTGTTCACCAGAATTAAAGCCACATGACTGACTGCTATTACTTTTGGCTCTATAAGGGATCAAAATTGATGAAAAAAATTTTTTTTTTGCAACCTAAATCATCAATCTAGGCATAATTAACTCAAAGGGTTGAAGCTTCATTTATTTTTTAACAGGGTAAAGCTTACTTTTACTTCATCAGAGACTTGTCTTGTATGCAATTAATATGAAAATTAACATTGAATTTCAGGATCTATTTGCTTCATGTAGACCTAGTCTCAAACCAATTATGAACAATGACAAGATTTTAGCTGCGAAGATTTTTGAACAAGAATTATAACATTAGGAAAGCTTACAAGTTATCTAGACATTCCAAACAATTTCCCAACAAGCCTATAAAGCAGGGTAAAAGTCTTGCTTATTGTTCTATTCCAAGATTTCTATTCCATGCAGTCAGTACAGAAGATATACTTTCTCATGTGTGAGACAAGTTTGTCTACCATTTAGATGTTTGCCGTACAACAAAAGAGGAACACACTAGAGACATATATATATATATGTATATATATATAATGGCCAGAGAATTCGTCAATATAAATTTTCAGGGTCGAACAATATTCTTCAGATGACATTAGTTGATCAAAATGCAGGTTCAAAGGAGTAATATCACTTTATTGATGATATTACTCCGATATTATTTATTATTACTGACGATATTACAAGATATTACTCCTTTGAACTAATGTCATCTGAAGAAATTACTCGGAAATTCTTTCAGAGTTCAGACTCTGAAATTCAGAGATTCGTCTGAACTCTGAAAGAATTTTCTGAGTAATTTTTAGTCCAAAATTTTACTGTTGGTCCTATTTACTCATATTATGTACTTATTTCCACCAAAATTTCAATGTGTAATGCTTTTTCTAACTTGAAAATGAATGCTTGTTGCATTCGAAACGTCGTTAATAAAGAAAAACTACTTCCTTAAACTTGCCTTTTTATCTACCGTCATCTGAAGAAAAGTTCCACTTCCTGATAATATAAACCAACAAATTCTCTGGTCATCAATCGCACACATATATATATGTATGTATGTATGTATGAAATAACTTTGAATCTTTCTCTTTTTATTGGTGTATAAATTATTATTTTTGAATTTATACCTGCATAAAAATGAGTTTATTGAATTTTGTTCATAATTGAAAATGACCCTGTATTTGCTAGCCCATTAATTGAAAATTTGTAATTATCACCACAAAACTGTTACTTCTATTATTACGACAGTCAGTACTTCTATGAATTTGGTAATTTTGCCTGCAGAATTGGTGTCATGTATACCTGCTTCCCCTTAGTAACCATAGACTCAATATTGTACCATATTTCTTAGCTTAAACTTTGAGCACAATTAGATTTGTATTGATATGCTATGTATATGTAAGTTTGATTGTAAACCAGAGCATGCTTTTTATTAACAATCTTCTAATTTTTTTTTAATGTGAATGACTGAATGGGAAAATAAAGTGTTACCTACTCAATGCACAAATAAAGCGTGAGCTTTACTGCAGATATGTAGATGAAATTTTTGTTGTCATTTAGACCAAAGAGCACTTTAGTAAACTGCAAAGAGCTTTAGAACATAATTCAGTTCTAAAGTTTACACATTACACTGGACAAAATCACACATCACCCTTTCCTGGATATATAAGCATGAATTGAAGATAATTCCTTTGTCACTAATTTTTGTTTACCAAAAACCTGCTGATGTCAGAAAAGTACTAAACAAAGAAAGTCAATGACTTCAATGCTATAAAACCAGCACTGCAAGCTGTCCTACAAAGAGCACTCAAGACCTGCACATCCGAGAGTGATTTGAAATCTGAACTTAGACTTGTAAACAAATCTTAGTAAATACCAATAATGGGTTTTCAAATAGAACATTTGATACTAAAATATCAAATTAGAAATCAAGAGAAAACCAAACTAACAACAAAGCAACATCTATTGAAACCATCAAAACAATCTTCTACCAAAACCGAATGAACAGCGGCTACAAAATAAATGTAGGTATGAGTCCTACAGTCAATCATCCAGAATAATATCAAGAACACAATGGATAAAAAAAAAACTTCTAATCTACTACAAAATAAGAAAATTAAATTCCTAACAATCTTTGTTCATCAATGTAAAAAAGCTGAAGTGCTACAAGAAACAAAAGTTGTTTATGAATTTTCATTTAATATATAAGGCTGTAGACTTATTCAAAATATAAACTACATTGATCTTTAATAGCAGAACCTTATGCCGCCGATTCAAATGACATCTGCAATTTAGAGGACTTTGTAACCACAAGTGGGAGGCTCACAATGAGAGGCTCAATCACCCAAGTGACATTGGAGTCCTGCACCAGCATAGTTATGCGGTGCCCCAACCCTTTGAGACAGGCAATAGCTGAGGCCCTCATTATCAATTGCAAGTCTCCAGCTATTAACCTCCAAACTACAGGATTTTTCCAGATGATGAAATTATCTTCAGTGTAATTTTAAGCTTAGATTTCAAACTGTATTCACAATACCCTTGACTTGTACTACTGTCATTTCCAAAAGTTTAAATTGAAGTGTTAAAAAAACCCTTCACCTGCTTGATAATGAATATAGTATATTCAAAACGTTGCATTCTATTAAAATGTCATTCGGTAACTGGCTTTTTGATCTCCTGGCAGCAAAAAAATTTTGTTCTACTAGTTGAAAAAAAAAACAAATGAGAAGATTGGTAATAAAAAGCATGCTCTGGGCTTCAATCAAACAATGACTACTGAGATACAAAATTTCTTTGTGATTTGAGATGGTCAAGTGAGAACCCCTTGTGAAACCTGCCATAGAATACCATCCTTGACAATTACTTTTTATTTTTTTTTTTTCAGTAAATTTGTTTGACTTACAAGAAGTTAATATTCTCAACATTATAATTATTAGAAAAAATCACTAATTAATGTTGTAATATTTTTTCTCGCAAATCTGTTTATTGTTTTATTTTTTTATTTTCTAATTTCCCAACAGAATTGTCAGTGCTCAAGAAAGTGGCAAAATTTCCTTTGGAGTAGTCTGTGATGGCCCTGCTTTCCGCCAGTACCTATTGGATGCAAAGAGATTAGTCCTTACCTTACATACAATTGAGACACAAGAATGTAATGCAGTTGATAATGATGATTTTCTCCACACAAATTCTCAGGCTACAAAAGTGTTGGAACCTTTGCAATTTGACAAAAATGCTTCTGTTTATCATGTTTTGAAGCCAGTTAACCTGAGTCCCTCAAAGAGGCCGCAAAAACAGAGCCCAACAAAGCGGTCAACAGGAAGATCCGTCTCTACCGTGACTGCCGCTGCGGACCTCCCAAATTATCTGCATGGCACACCTCGTCATCGGTTACTGGAGAAACGCCGCACCTCATGGCAGCCTGGTGAAGAAGTTGGTCAAGTTGTTGTTGCGAACCTCAAACTGAACTCTAGAGGCGAGCTGGTGCGTATATGTGACATCATAAATCTTTTTGGTGATCACCGTGGCACACTGGATGTAACTATGGTCTATTATGAAAATATTTTACAGTCGTACACACTTTTGGATGAAGTAACCAATTTAAAGTCTGGTGTAGTTCAGCAGTGGGATCGAAACTCGAGCTATAATTACTCTCCAACTGAAAACAAAGAAAATGAATGTGATGGGCTAAGAGAAGCCAAGCTGACAAAGGTTTCTCAGACGCATGTGCTGGATGATCTGACTGAAGTGTCGTCCATGGGAAGAGATTTCGGCTCAGATGAGAAGGAACTGCTGCACAACGAGAGACCAGCGTCGGAAAATGAGCCTGACAAATGTCACTCTTCAAACGTCTCACTTACGGATGAGAGCGTTTTGGATTATCTGAGACAACTTGACCCCAAAGCTTTGGTTGGTGAGTATGGGATGTTTAGTATTGTCTACTGAGGGAGCAGCTTCCCTTGCAACATTTGCAGTAAGGTAGAAAAGTAGTCTGCTATCACCTCGAATTTTGATGAAAGATTAGATGAAATAACGATGAAGTGATTGGTATATACTTCATGTAATATTCTTTTTAAAAATAGTTGTTAAATTGTTTTAATGTAATATTATTTCCATCCCAGAGTGTGGAGCTTTAAGGCAAGCTGATCTTCCCAAGTTCCTGAAACTGATTCAAGATTGCACTATTGATGACAATGCTTCTTTAGCTTCCAATGCTTGTGCACCTGCATCTGACCCTGAGCTCATTGTTAATCCCGATATCAAAGATTATGACTCACCAATTCATGGTAAGAATGTTGATGGCAACATTCCCGAGACTGTTTCTTCTGATGTGGAAAAAACAAAGTCAAGACATAACTTGTTTGGATCTTTGCGCGAAAGGAATACTTCTAAGTTGTATTTGAATCAGGTTGCACAATCAGCTGATGCACATGTGTCAGAAAAGGCCAATGTTTTTTGCTCCGAGCCCAGCGTTATTTCGTTGCCATCTGGCGTGTGGCCGCTGGAGGACTGCAACGATTTTTCTGCTCCTTTTCGCGGTGCTGAGAAGAGCGTTTTGAGCGACAGAGAGAGATGTAAAGCTGACAAATTCCATGCAATTAGATCTGAATATGGCGGTGAAAATGTATCCAGCAATATGCCAGGTCAATCACTCGTGAATCCGCGTATGGATGAGGGTGAAATTTGCTATTTGCAACAGGGAAAGTCACTGGATTTGCTATCCAAGTTGAAATACAAAGCATTTACTCCCGAAGGCGAGGAAGTTGTTATGGACGGGCGCAGCATTGCACGCTTGACAAAAAATATGTCAGACTCCATCAACGGCGATCAATCGGCGCAAAACAACAATGATGTCGGTTATAAGTCATGTGGTTCAGAATTTCCAAGTCATGAAATCGCAGGAACTCCAGGAGTTTCCGGGAACCGTCGAAAATTTCGTGCTTTAGAAAAGCAACATCTTGATTTTCCCGAAGCTGTGAAAACCGTAGAAATGAATTCCCGAAATTGCCCCATACTAATCAATTCATCTGATGTAAGTGCGTCGGCTGGGGAGAGACCTATGTTATCAGATATTTGCGATAATTCTGATAACAAAAGTGACATTTCTGCTGCATCGGATGAAACTTACACCACATCTACGCTCAACAATATAAATGATTCATCGGAAAGGGGTTCGTTATGCGTACATTAATAGCAAATCTCTTGATTTCCTCATATATACAACAAATACTTATTTTTCTTCAAATTTCCATCATGTTGATAATGAAAGTTAGAAACTTTCGTATTATATTAGGATAAGTAATGCATTTCGGAAATTTATCAACTCTCTGTAAACTAAAATCTTAAAATAATACTAATAACGGCGTGTTATATACTTGTTCCAGCAAGCCCCGGCAGCGTGTTGCTTGTTGAGGTGAAAGAACTAACGCTACGCGGCGCCCTGTCCAGACAGCCTACATCTGCAGCGTCTTGCCTCAAAGGTTTGAATACCAATCCCAGTTTTAAGTACATATATATTTACGACATTACACGTATCCTCATATGCTGTGTGGGACTGCGCTTCTATCTTTGTTCAAAACTAAATGACTGTGTATTAGTCGAAGAAATTTTCTTTGATTATTAAAAATTCAAGTACATTAACGAAGTTTGGTTTTAAGTAATTTTGAAAAATAAATAATGTAAGTGTTCTCAATCTTCAAAACTTAAGAATAATAATTTCAGGAGTTGCCAATTTTTTGACGATGTTTTTCAATTACGGAAATGTAGCCGCTGATGCATGTCCATGGCGTCTTAGCTGTGTCAAGATAAATTTAATAGCGCGCCCTCTCGAACGAGACAATATGACAATAATTATGATCTTTATTGCGCGTATTTACGAAACTGAAGTAGCGCTTCTCCTGCTTTCATACACGGGAACAAGTGGGTTAAGATGAGCAGCAACCACGTGTCCATGAAGGAACGCACACATATGACACCTTTGGCCTATTGTGACGCCTGTCTCACACACAGTCGTGACTCGTAGAAATGGGTTTAGGCTAGATCAGGTTGACGCTTTGAAGAAATCGTGTGAATCAGGAACGTGAGATCAATTTTTGGCCAGCTATTGACTCACCAAGTGGGTCATCATAACCCACTCACACCTCTGTTTGTAAAATATGCATTCATGATTCAATAAAGAAACATTTTGAATAAGCGTGGATCAGAAAGAGGATTTCTATTAGTACATGTGTTTCAGTTTGTAGCTTTATTGCAGGCGTGAAAAAGCGCAGCAGCGTTTGCATCCTGACATCGTTAACGGTGACCGCCCCCGCCTCCCCGCACCCTGCTGGTGGAGAAGACCTGAGTCTTGGTGGACGAGACGTGCTCACGACTGACAATGGTCCTACAGTCACTGACGATGGCAGGCAGACTATCACACTTGCTTCACGTCACCTCGAGTATAATAGTGGGAATAAAGATCATATTGGTTAAGGCATTTGCGTGTGTGATTATTTGCATGTACTTTGTATGATTTGTTAAGCCATCTAAGGTGCTGATGAATTTTTTGCGGATAGTGATGAAATGAGTTATGGATAGATCATCACTATCACTCATATCACCTTAACTATGGTAGTTAAAATAATATAGTATATTCACAATAAATACTGTAGACATTTGTATATCTGTGTAATTTTTCATGTATCTATCTATCAGTTTGCCGCACTTCTTGCATTTTTAAGTCAAGGATACCGTAATTAATTTCTGGTAGTCCTAGCGTAACCTAGCCGAAACGAGATTGCTCCGAATCATTCTGATCTTGAAATTTTTTCTCACTTTATTTTGGCTGCGCAAGTTGTTGAAAATTGAGTTTCGGTTTCGTGAAAGACAATTGAGGTACGTAGGTTCAGAAGTCGACGAGTTTTGGAGTAACGAATGATGTATTACTTTGCTACAGAGGTCCGCTACGACGCTGTCCAGGCATTCGGCCTTGCTGGGCTCTGGGATCCTGGTCAGCTGCAGAAAGTCTCGCTGCACATCAAGTACGTTGCCGCGTTTATTTATGTTGTTTGGGTAAATTTCGCTTCATATTCTCTAATTATTTTTGGAGCGGATGGCCTTTCATGGGAATCGAATATATTTAAACCTTCTGGGTGATCGAATTGAAATGTAAATACAAAAAAAAGCACAGTCATTACTCAATCAACTTGAGTTGCGCTCATTACTAGTATATTGTTTAACTCATTCAGATGTTGAATAATCGGCAATAATTGATGCTCAACTTGATATAATGTTATGGGACAATTTTCGCTGACCTTAATCGAATTTTTCTTAATTTTGTATTACAGAGTTTACCGACGTGTTCTGGGCCAGCAGAAGAGTGAGGAGCTGTGTGGCGCAGAGCTGTCCCTGTGGGACGTGTATCGTCTGGTACATGGTCACCTCATCGTCCCTCTTGCTCCTGCTTATCTCCACCACTCGCCTTCCAGGAGCTTGCGTTTTCCCTCACCTTCCAGTGCGCGGTGTGGTCCTGGAATATCCCGTGCGTTTCCCGACTCGACTTCGAGACAAGATTCTTCCAGACGCATAAGTGGGGGAGAAAAGATTTCAGTGAAGAGCCCTAAAAAGAAGCGAGTTACAGATGAGAATATAAACCTCGTGTCAAAAAGACTGATATCAGGAAATGTTCGAAGTACCAAGGCAGATCGTGATGTACCAAGTGTCGGCGGATTGGCGCATCAAGGCCGTGGCTCCAATGTTGCCCGTAGTAACAAATGCAGTAAGAACAAATTACCTGGTAATGGAAGTGCCGTTTCTGGAGAAATTTGCATTTTCTTGAAACTGTTTCTAAATGAACAGTATGGGAATGAGCTACGCAACAGCATCATAGAAGATCCATTAGTTCTTGCATCATTTGTCAAACGCGAAGCCCTCAACAATAAGGAATTGGAAGATTCCGACGAATCTGACGTAGTCACTGTACTGCCTAACTTGGACCGTCATGGAACGACCAGATTACTTGATCAAGTAACTGGTCAGTACCTCGCCACCAAGATAGATGCACACGAAACGGAACATCACTCCAACTCCGGTGATTTTGTGCCATCTTGTCCCACTGACTCCGGACAGTTCGAGAGCACGTCAGGTCGACCGTTCATTCCCTTGGTGTCGGATATTCCTCTACCTATAAACGTGATGCTTTCAGCTCCCAAGATTATGCCATCCCGAGAATCTAGAGATAAACGGGAGATCGAAGCCAGCAACGACTCAGAAACCGCATTGGTGAAAGAAAGTGAATCATCAAGTCGTTGTAAAGATTCGACCGTGCAATCAATGCAAAACCGATTTGATACCTCAGCTGAACAAATTTGTAATAAAAAATACAGGGTTTCAGATAATCCTGCGTCTATTAACTGTCTCCAGAACACGGCCAACGATCCGTCCGTGTCTTTCATTCAAACCCTGAGCCGACAACATTACTTGAGCACGGAATATTTCATCAGAATCCACGTAGAAATATTAGAGGCCAAGGACCTTGTTAGTGCCCGTATGACAGATGATGGAAGGGCCATGCCTCCTACGTACGTCAAGGCCACCTTCTTTGGCAAGAATTTGACGACTGGGATTAGCGACCCAACATCCTGCCCTGTGTGGAATTTCGCCACCGACATCGTCGTGTCCTCGTTCGAGATCAGCGACGTGAGTTGGAATGATTGCATCCAACTGGTATAGAGATTAGGAATTGAGTAATTAGTAGATTGCATCCAACTCTATAAAGATTAATTTTAGCTTAGTGTGTAATGTGTATAATCAGTATGGATTCATGGGATATTACTGATATGATATTTCTTACTTGAATTGACAACCAACATGTGTTTTACGCATGTATAGCATTTGTTTAGAATTAAAATTATTTTCTTACATCAATTGACTAAGTTCCTCCTTGGGCAGGTATCTTCGAGCATGATCGTGTTGCGCGTGTACGAGAGGCGGCAGGAGGCAGGCAATCCGCTGATCGGTTGCCTGGCACTGCAGCCGCCCACGCCCTTCTGGCCAGGCCAGGTGTCGCTCTGTGGCTGGTATCCCTTGCTCAATATGAGGGGTCGGCTGGCGGGGCACGTCAAGGTTAGTACATTTCCTTATATTACAGAGGTACTCTCATCGATGACAGAGTTTCGCCTACTATTCATTTGAATCGCATTTCGGAGTTTTGTCCTTACCCCAAAAGTTGCTGATGGAGATTATAGTGCAACAATTTTTAGCTTCTAGTTTTTAGAAGTTAATTCTGGGAATTTTGTATTTCAGCTTTCATTAACCATTGTGGAGTCGTTGTTGAGTGACGCCGGGAGCTCGTCAGGCGCAGGTTCGACCCCGCGGCGGAGTGATCACCCAGGGCTCCCAGATCAGCCAGCAGCCGTACGCGATGTTTCTAAGTCAGACAGAGATTTCGAAAATGATACCTGCAGTGACTATCAAGGAACATCTCGTTTGACCAATGATCGTTCGCAAACACAGCCCGAACGGCATTCGAAAGTTACGTCCATTAATACACGCTACAAATCTGTGAATTCTGAAATGCCGCACCCGAGCTGTATAATGAAGTTCGATTGTCGGACTAAAAATCAGGGCAGCAATGGCAGCACGCAGTACTTTCGTAATCAGTATTCTGAAGTGGACAGTTCTGAACCTGAAGCAATTTCGGTGAAAAATTATATACCTATCGTGGAGACCCAAGCTGATCCCATCTACCCTCCTCCTGCCAGTTACGCGGACCACCAATACAACGAGGAGAATATTGGAGTCGTCAGTGAAACCAGCAACTGGACTCCCAATGTTGCTAGGTACATGGACAGTCTGCCATATGATGCTGATGGAATTACGATTTCTTTCACTAATGACGATCTAAGATTTAAAGAATCAATAAGTGACCCAGACTATATCTCGGACCTTGAACGTGTAACTGCTCATAGAAATGGAAGCCGTCATTCAAATACGTTCATGGCGAGTGGACAAAGCGTTGGTTCATCCAGGAATAACCTGGCATCACTTTCTTTAGTGTCAAAAAGCCAATACCCCGCAAATTACTTGAATTCCACCCATACATTTACTTCAATGGATTTTACGACCACTGTCGTTGTACCGTCTGGTATTTGTTACCCTGATATTTCCGACACTGCCTCGCCCGGTCAAACTGCCGTTTGTAAACAAAGATGTTCTGGGCTTGCTAATCAATCAGTTATTTCTGGTTCTCAAAAGCTCATATTTTCCGATCGTCTTCATTATTCTTCTACAAGTGATCATCAATCGGAAAATTTTGACTTGAATTTTTGTAGGGAACGAGACGCTGAAGTGATGTTTCGCAAGGTTCCATTGTCTCCGGTATCGTGTCTGAAAACTGTGGATAGCCCTCGCATGCTCTCCAAGAAAGTGCAGTTTGCCGACGAGCCGGACTTCTCTGCAAATCTGGTGTCAATTATTAACTCTCACCGTTCCGATGAACTACAACAGCGACGACTTACTGATGTTGTTGCTAACGAATACCTTTCAGACAATCTTGCTTCGAATTTTTCCGGCCGAGGATCGCCAGTAATGGTTTCAAGAAATTTCTGTGAAAGCGATAGAAGTCGTGACTATATGAACATTACAGAACTTCCTAAATCGGCTCGTGAGCCAGAAAAGGTAAATAACTCGAATGTTTCAGAGAGAACTGTCAGAATAAATCCACTTTTGGAATCATTGTCATGGATGAATTTAGCGAGAGACAATGATAGTCCGTGCGTTTCGTACATAGATTCTTCGAAACGTTCATCTCTGCGGTCTCGAGAGGAACGCGTTCTTGCCTCCAGTTGTCCAGTCATGAACTCGGATGGGGAAATTGTTACTCCAACCTTTGAGAATAACGCGTTCATGCATAAAGATCAATCACCTACCTCTTCAAAATTAGTTGTTCAAAATAACCAAGATTTGTTTAGAGAGAAAGGCGACGCCGGAAGAAGCGAGTGCCGCTCCGTATCTTCGGACACGAATAAAAAATGTTCAATCCTGCCTGACTATTCTTCACAGGAAAGTGAGAACCTAAGTTCACCCCTACAAAAGCCACAGTCCACAGGTGTTCTGCATCCAACCCAGGCTCGCCAAAACGTTTCTAAGTGCAGACTGGCTGCAAATTTTTCATTTAAGAAACAGCCGAGATGAGAGCCATCCCCAGGTATGAAAATATCACCGTGCCTAAACGAATCTCGCCTACAAACTATCGTTGTACTAATTTTTCGTCGATGTAACTTCTATTTGGTTCACATATATATTTTTGTACGTTTGCATTACTTCTGATTAGTTGTTGAATAAAGGAAAAAGTTGCTAATCCAGTTTGGTATCATTTTCCTTCAGAACTAAATAGGAAGCCAATCCTTGAGAAGATTCGTCAATATTCCAGTTCTTTAGAGAAAGTCTCGGTAACTAGGCTAATGCGATCCCCGTCTTTTAACCGAATAAAATGTGGAAGACGGTTTGTTCGTGAGCATTCGTGTTGATGTTGATTGCACCTGGACTCGATTTCCTTAATATTCTGATTATTTAATGGGTCTTTTTCATTCATGTTAAGTTTTTCCTGCATGAATTATTAGAAAGACAGCCCTCGAAATTCATCTTTGATGCGTCTCCTACCAACATTTTTGGTCAGCAGACACGAGACACCAGACATGGATCGATTTAATACTTTACGTTGCACTTGGTAGGTCAATAGCACCAGAAACTAAGTTACGAGCCACTAATTAATAAACTGTTTCGAATCGCCACTGACTTTGATCAAAATTGATGCGTCCAAGTTCACAAATGCTCGTACGTGATTGTGCTTTTTCGCCAACGTTGATGCTCCATTGTGATGTTCTTTGTTTGCGAGGAAGAAGCCTAGCCAGAGGCGTCATTGATTGGTGGCGTCGCGCCGTGGCGTTCGCTGCGGCCGTTGATAAGCTCCATTAGAAGTCCAGCGCGATATGAGAGAAGCCTTGGACGGGCGCACAAGGCTCATGTTTTTGGGGCGCTACACTCATTCTGCATGTCTTGGAAACTCCATCGCCGCCTGTCTGTTACTTGCGATGACGGCCGCTCGATGATGGCGCCGCTGCTGACACTCAACTCGCCCGTAATTGGACGACAAGATTGCCTTAATTACTGCCACAACCCACCTGCAATTATAACCAAAGGACGATACTAGCGCGCCCGTGTCCAGGCCTTCGCTTCTGAGACTCTGCCGACGAAATGAATGTTCGATGACAGCAAAACCGCGTGAGTTACTTCATGGCTTGTGCTACTTTGTCTCAGCGGTACGTGTCGTTGCTGTGAATTAGAGTCGCATTATTTAAGATATTCTCTTCGAGAAATTGCATACCTAGAAAAAATAAGGTCCTGAAAATTTATCGGACTATTTTGCTGATCCATGTTGACAGAAAACATAAAAGTTATTTCTCAATGTTGGCTTTGATATTTGAGTGGAATCTGTTGCATTTTTGTTGTTTGTTGATTTTTTCTTCACACGTTCCCTTAATTGTGTTTCTATAACAAAAAGTGAGGTATTTTTGGCTAAGTTCCACTTTCAGAGCGACTTTTTTCTCAGAGTATTGAATTTATTTTTCAGTAAAGAATCCAAGAATTACCATGTCTTATATTTTTTAATACCTCAGCGACTCGAAATAACTGAAGTATCTACAATGCTTGAGCCGCATCACATGATTGGGCTCAGGCTCAATCGAATTTGTGAAGTAAATGATTCAGTGATGATTTTTATTTTCAATCAAATTAATTTTAGATGGGATGCGTGTCAACTTCTTTTTTAATTTGTTCACATCTATGACTTGTCATTCAAGGTATCTTTTTTTATACCTTACTTGTGACACTGGGACAGACTGGCGGGCTCACGCCGCGTTCTGTGTAGGCCTGCCTAATTCAAATCATGACGGAGGCGGTGCAGCAAAGCATTAAATGCTCATTAAATATTGTTCTGATAAGAGGCCTGCGCTCGTACGATAAACTGTCGATAATTTCATTACTGTCAACATTCCCTGTAATAATGAAACCAATCGACATTTCTTCAATGCATGTCGGTGAAGGTTCTGAGAAATCATTTGAAGTTGTCAACTTCTGTTTCGCGCGACGGTTTGGTTAATTTTTTTCGTTGTTTTTGGCGATTGCGTATACGAATTACGTATAGTTTGCTCAGTACTCAAACACTAATTTAAACTTACGCTTCAATTCAAATAGTAGAGCAACACACTCTATTTTTAACGTGTAAGCAAAACCGCATCGCATTTTTTAAATTGATTTAATTGAATTCAAAGTTCCATGAAATGAAGCTGTCCTGCGCAAATGCCTCTACTAGAACTGATCGAATTGTGTAGTTACGGCAGTTAAGAGATCAATAAACTGTCCAATAAATTCGCTTACATTAATTAACTAAATTTTGCGCTTAACTTCCTTCTTCGAAAGCAGGAGTCTTGCATCAAGTCAGCTTTTCGACTCTTTGTATTAGTTAGATTGTATTAGTGAGATATTAGTGTTTTAGGAACTCTGAAAGTGTAAGAGTAAGTTGCGTAGACTCTTGATGAATTTGATTTGTTTGTCCGTTTACATTAGACAGCAAAGATAAAACAATACCAATCGAATTCAATATGTAGAATCAATGTTATCATGTAATATTGGGAGCATGTCAAGTATTTTATTACATGTTATCTAATTAACTGTATCGTGAATATTTTCATTCTTCGTCTCGAGTTAACCAACTAATTAAATAGAATCTTTTATTATTTTTTATACTCTAAAATGTTATTTAAACTGACTAAATAAAAACTGTTTTTGTGAATGTTAACTGCGTTTATTTTGAACTTGATTCAAAAGTTATACGGAACACAACACATTGATAATAAATTGTGTTCGCACTCTATATTGGTTAAGCTTTATCATTCAACGTCAAGGTTTCAACGTAGGAAACGTTAAATTACATAAATTCATCTATATCACGTCTCTTGTCTTTACAGTGCTGAAAATTAGTCGATATTCAATGTACCAAAAAATATATGACGACCGGTAACCTATAAATTCCTCGCAGTCACGAATATATAGCAGCAGATATCGACGACGATCTGCATAATCTAAAATATTTTCCAGAAATTTATATTGAATGGGATATTGTCGTTCAATATTCCGACCGCTATCATTATTCAACGTTGGTGACATCGTCTCGGCAGAAATGCATATAAGTTTGTCCGGAAATCTGACAGAATTCGAGTCTGTAATCGTTATAGTCGCTTTTTCATCTGCATCTTCAGCAAGTGATTTCTGAACGTCTATTCAGAGGAACGGGTGAAATCTTGTCCGAATTTAGGTGCACCTCTGCCCAATTGTGACCCAGTTTTACTCGGTGAAATGGCGTATCAGTGCTACATTCTCTCTGCTTGTGTTGTGAGTAAGAAAGTGTGTCAATATTTGGACAAAATGACCCAATCATTTGACGAATGTACCGCAGCCTGAATAGGATGCGCTGCATTCAGCGACGGATGGATGTTCAAGCGATCTTGTATGTGTTTACTTTACTGCATGAGAAAGAAGATTGGACTCGATGGCGACTTTTACCGAACTCATGTGGGGCACCATGTAAATGAAATTAATACGAAGCGAACGAATCAAAGCTCAATTGATTATACTAAAGGAAGAATGAAAGGATTTCACATACCAAGTTGGGCAATAAATATATATATTTAAGACATATTTTTTACTATTGAATGTAAGCAATGTGTTTTCAATAGCTTTTCTTCATCAGATCAGGCATAATTAAACGTTTTTAGTTTTGTGTATTGCGAACTATTGTCTTATTTATTCATTGTTTCCCCATTACTTCATCTTCGTCACTATGTATAGAAAATCATTTACGTTAGGATTTTCCATATTGCAAAGTTTCTTGAACATATTTTGTGAACGGTGGAATCGCACACTTGAAGTCATTATCTAAAATCTCAATGATAGAAATATTTCCTTATCAATAACAATAAGGCATATACGTGCATGCCAAACATTTTCTCCACTGTTTGTGTATGGCCTGGGAGATTTAATCTGGTGCATAAATTCTGAAGTAAGATAAAATTCTGCAGTAATTTAGTTATCTCGCAAATTTTCACGCTGTTGGTAGTTTTGGAAACAGAAAGGACTATGCGATACAATGCATCTATATTTTTAAGAAAACTATGATTGCTTTTCTAAAGTGAACTGAATATTTTATTCAAATTTGAGAAGCCCAAATCTTGAGAATGCTGTGTAATTTTTCGCATGCTCGCAGTGCTATGTTGCCTAGTAGAATGCTTTTAGATAAGCATTGAAGGTTATCAGTGAACAGCATTTCTGGAGGTAGCGCGAGACCAAACACCATGTCTTTGGTTCACTGGACATCGGCGTGTAACGTGATACCTTGAGGTATGGACTGCATGCATGCGAGTGTACGATGTTCTCGATCTGACCCAACCGTATCCATGGGTTCGGGCGACGGGGCTATAGTGGCTTCACTGGCTTGATACCTCAACGTTATACGTCACTGATTTTAACTGACATTCTTGCCAACTATTAGAACATTTGTCATACTGAGAATTGTTGTTACAGTTTATCATTAAATATGTTATAAATAATTCATCTTTGAGACCCATAGAGTTGTTAGTTTTATTTTGTTTTTGATCTCCATTTGTCTTCAGCTATGTTACCGACACTCTATTTATATAGCGATAACTTATCTTGTGTTTTATATATTTAAGTTATACTAGAGCCACTCTCACATGAACAGATATGACGCTCAAATAAGCAGAGAAATGATGTGGTTGCATGCGAGTGTCTTATGTGTCAGTTTGTTTATGCCGAAACTATAATGTACACATATCAATTCAAATTCTACATCAGTTTATATGTTCTGATTTTTAAGGAAGATTGTTCAGCAATAGAGGCATTGGGAGCCAATTTATGCCACTACCAGCATGCATTGAGTTGTCAGTTGAAGCAGAAGGCTGGATCTCTGGTTTGAAACTTCAAGTTTGACACAATCAAGTGGTGGTTGTCGACCAGCACGTCTTGTATAGCGAGAGTGAGAGCGATCGGTGAGCATTAACACCTCCAGCTCAGGCGCACGCTATCATCAACTCACGCATCCTGCGATCAGAGTATCTTCAATTGAATGCTATAAGAATGACTGTCATGCAGAGAGACAAATATAAAAACTGCTGAAGTTTTTCCACTTAAGTTGGAATTTTTGAATTTATATAATACGGTGAAAATAAGATGAATTTCTGCGACGTACAAACTGATGATTAATATGTACAATTATAGGGTCAGTG